TAGACCCTTTGCCCTCAAGGACCACGGGTCAATAGCCCATTCAGCTTCGCCTCATGGGCTATTGACCCGTAGCCCTTGCGGGCTACAGGTCTAATTGTTAAATAACACTATACTCTCTTTTTGATAGGAGTGTACACTTTTTTATGCCCAGGATGGATGCTATTTTTCTTTAGGCTGAAAATATTCTTGCGTATATTCTTAGATTACAGGGTATAGTACATGTATTTCAGTTAATAAAACATATTTCACCAGAAATCGAACTGTGAAATAGATGTTGTCTGTATCGTGTTACATTGCGCACGTGCTTTATCGTGTTACCTTATGCGCGTATCAGATTTTATCGTTTCGTTAGCTAATTTTGTTAGAAAAAGGAAACGATTTACCATACTTTTCAATGGTAAACTAACGTTCGTTCAAAGTCATGCGATTTTATTGTATTTTATTTCCCATTAACACGCAAAAAATGTTCTTGAAAAATCTCAGCTTTCGGTATATTCTCAACATATTCTTAAAAGTTTGCTAAATTCAGCCTCGATATTCTTATAAAAAAGATTCTTACAAAACAAAGAGTGTTTTTTTCTTATGAACAACAAGACACAAAAGAGATCAAAAACCCATCCAGAATGTTCCACAGGTCACAGAAAATATTCACACATAGATTTTCAAAAGATGGGAACTGGGAGTTTGGGGGCAACTGAGGAAACAATTTGCAATTTCCCTGCTCTCCTATTTCGAACAGTCAACGGTGACGGGAATAGAAATTCATACGTGTTTGAGATAAGGCTCCTCAACTTAACATATGACTTCTGCAGCTTCTGATACCTGTCAATCAAACAAAGGACATGAATATGACAGTGGTAGTGACTACAGACAGGATGTTGATTTCTGGAACTTAAATCTGAACAAGTTTACTAAACTACACGAGAAAAAAAACTACATGAGAAGGCCTGACCACCGCAGAAAACCCACAAACAACTGAAGATTGACTGCTAGTGGTATAGAAAGTTAAAAAGTAATAATGGGCTGGCTGATTTTCTTTTCTTTTTTTTTTTTGCTTCAATCTTGTACGATAGTCGCAGCAGTGACACTTACTTAGGATCTCCAGCAAAACTCATCTGCACTGGCCTGATACTGTGGTGGACAATGTATGGGTACATCTATAATACGATAGTACAAAAGAAAATGTCACTGACAAAAGTGCAAAACTAAGACTGAAAAATGTCAACAAGGCTTTGCTCAAGTGTGATCTGAAGAAGAATGAGAATACAAACTCATGAAGGTAGACATGCAGTGTCTCCTTTAAATCACAACAGTGTTCTCAGCCACAAAAAAGGTACCCACCTTGATTTTAGACAACCTTTCCCCATCCTTACAAAACTGCAAGTCATCAACCCTGAGAGCTGCAGGTTTCTGTAATCACCATAAGAGCGAATATGTCATAAACTACTGACAGAACACTTGCAATAACATTAGGGTTCTGCCCATTGCAAGAAAAATATTTTCATGAGAGAGCTGTTTTATCCTAATGGTCATATTGGATTAACTAGTCCCAGGTTTGCTTTGTTCTTTACATACTACTCTGAAACTGCCCTCTGGTATGAAAGTACAGGCGTACTGTTCCCAAAGACAACCTGACAAAATGCTGACAGATTACTTGCAAAGAGCTAGCACGGTTATGTTTTCCAACAAAGAAGCAAAATTCTTAGCTAATTTGTGGGTGGGTCACTTTAGCCCATCTGCATTTCAGAAAGGATGCTTGTACGAAGATGTCATGATGGTGACCAGCTAACATGTCCACTTCCATGTCAATCCATGGACTTGTGCTTTAAGGGCCTTTTCAAAAAAATGTTCTGATTATTACTTACTCCTGTCTGCGGGAAGGCAGAAATGCACTTTCTTCAGACACACTCTCTATGTGCAAGGCAGACACAGCCCTGTTGAAATGTGCAAGTTTTGTCTACCTGCTACTGACATCCAGCAATTTCAGTCATGTCCAATATACACAAATTGATATAGTTCCAAACTACAACTTTATGATCTGTTTAGTTTGACAGAAGACAGTTTTCGGTCTGTATACAATCACCCTCAGTAAATTATTTGCCACCCACTTCATTCTGGAGTTCACTACTCCTGACTAAGAACAAATCTATGTCCAATCCATGATTTCCACTGCCTCTGTTATCCTGCCTGCTAATAAAAGACACTGCTTTTGACAGTGCTGGAAACATTTTTAAAAATTGATTTCTACATTTAAATAGGACCTCACCTTATCTGGATTCATCACAATAGAATTGATGCATGACTTGCTGTATTCATCCAATTTATCAGCACTGAGAGTTAAATCACTGGACTACCAAAGACAAAAGAACAGCATTTATTAATTACACTGGATCTAACAATTGAATCACATGATTCAGAAATTCCAAAGCAAGGAGTATATAGATTCCTTCTTCTGCCATGAATTTTGTCTAATTTCTAACCTTCACAAGAGGTTCAGCAGAGTCCAAAATATAAGACAACACTTGACTCATTGGAAGAAGTTCATGGTCCTTCATGGCATTTTCCTGGTCTAGAAATGGAAAATGTTGTTGTAATCAAGAATAGAGAATGCAAGACCAGGGGAAATTGGAGAATAAAGTGGATGTGAAATTATTATTAAGGTTGGTAACATAAAGATACTTTTTGGTTAGAATTATGCAATGCTTGTCTACCTTCTTTTTTTTGATGGGGTGTGCTTACATACACATTTACCTGTCAATCTGTGAACAAATCTTGGCATGAAGTGGTATCGTTGACAAGAATCTTGAATATTTCCTGGCAATGAATAATTAAATGACTGTCAGAACAACCTCAGAAAGAAAATTACATTACTAACTTATTTAATTAATAAATTATCATATTAAACACATTTCATTTCATTTCAAGCTCTCCTGTATTCTAAAGATGCATTAAGTGCAGTTGTGTTTTACTTTAGAATATAATTATATAGATTACCTTTTAACTCCCAGTCTGCCAGTTCAAGCATTTTGTAAAACAGAAACTGTGAGAACAAGTCAAGATCCTTAATACAGAAATTCTGAAATGAAACATATGGGCATTTAAATAATAAGGAAATTCTATGTCATGTTATACTTGAAAAATGTTTCAGGGTAAACAAAGTCTAACCTAAAGTGTACACCCTGTAGATAATCTTTTCAAATGTTCATGGAGCTAAGATAGAAAACAACAACTTACCTCTGGAACTGGTTCGCTAATGACATGTAGAGAGTATTCAATATTGAATCGAATCACAGAGCAAAGAGGTACCTAGAAAGATAAATGTAATGAGTGTATATTTTAGGTTTCTGGCAAGGGTTTGAAAGGGGATGGGGGACAAAGGGTGTAGAGGGGATGGGGGGGGAGAGGGTATGGAGAGGGATGGGAGGCAAAGGGTGTGGAGGTGGATGGAGACAAAGGGTGTGGAGGAGAAAGTGACAAAAGGGTGTAGAAGGGAATGGGGGCAAAGGGTGTGGAGGGGGATGGGGGAAAAGGGTGTGGAGGGGGATAGGGGCAAAGGGTGTGGAGGAGGATGGAGACAAAGGGTGTGGAGGGGGATGGGGACAAAGGGTGTGGAGGGGGATGGGGACAAAGGGTGTGGAGGGGGATGGAGACAAAGGGTGTGGAGGGGGATGGAGACAAAGGGTGTGGAGGAGGATGGAGACAAAGGGTGTGGAGGGGGATGGGGACAAAGGGTGTGGAGGGGGATGGGGACAAAGGGTGTGGGATGGGGTGGAAATGGGAGGTGGTCATACAGGATTGTATAAAAAATAAAAAATGTTGATGGAAAGGGTTAAAAGCAATTATTTGGACTCACGTGTTCCAGTGGGTGATGACAAAACATAGAAAATCCCTCAAAAGTGTAATCTTTCCCTTCAAAATGGATAATACTCGGATTCTCTGTCTGCGAAGTAAAAAGTTAAGACATTCAAGTTTGGAAACAGCTAATTAACCAAATCAGTGTTGATGTTCAGGTTAGGTATTCAAAAACATTTGGACTACTGGTACCACTGAATCAGTAATTATGTACTTATATTTATTGCAAATTATATTGTAACCTAAGGATCAAAAACGAAAAATCTCAGGTGAACAGAACTGAGCAACAGAGCCTTCTATTTCTCTTGATTCACTGCTGCATTAGGCCATATGGAATGTTGGAAGACTAAGAGCAAGAGACATTTAGTTCTTGATGCATTTTTCCAACGTCCTGCATGGTTCACAGCAACAATAAATCTATTTTGTAAGTAATTAATTTTGTTTAGTTTTATATAATGACTGACTGTTGAGGTTATTCTAGCTGGAATAAATCATGACAGTCCCCTCCTTGTCCCTCAACCATCTGTGGCATTGATGCTTAAGTAAACTCTACACAAAAACTTAGATGTACTAGATGTACACTGTGTGGCTGATGGTGATAGGAAGGGAACACATACAGCCAAGCAAACAAAGCAAATTCAGTGGCATGATGGATTGTGTCGACATACCATGAAATTGGTGTGTGGTGTGACAGTCATCCAGTAATGATGCAACTTGTCTGCGTTGTTTGTTAGTGGATCACAAGCTGGAATGACCTTAGTTTGTAAAAATATATGTTACATATTGTTAGAAAATAACATGAATAATAAACTTCAAGAGAACTATAAGCACCCCCTTTTGGTATTATTTTTTTCAGAATGTATCATAATTATACAGCTTCCAAAGAACAAAACCATTTTTATTTTGTGAACTTAGTTAAACTCTTAAACCTTGAAAAAAAAACAGTTTGGCTGTGCAATATTGACAGATGGAAAAACTTTTGACAAGATGTTAATAATCACTATGAAAAGTTAATATACATCAAGAAAAAGACCAGTGTAATCCTGACAAATAGAACTCTAAGTGTATACTCACAAACCTTTCTAAATTGTACTTACAGTTTCACCAGGGTAAATACTGTGACGAATTCCTTGCTGCTTGTCAGATGCACTGCATCGACAGACTGGACCATCATTTGTCTATGAGAAAGTAAATGGCGCAACAAAAAGAAATATAATAAAATAATAAGAATAGAGAAATTACATATGGCTTGTAAGGCACAGTTCATATCACTCTTATCAAAATAGTGCCACGCCTTGACATGAGGGGGGAGGATGCTAAATCTTGATATTCTTGAACAGGTAACAGATAACATATATTTATCTTCTTTCTGCTCATCCTTAGCACATTCTACTGGTGAACACTCAAGACGACATATTTCATGCATTTACTCCTGTCAATAAGTCATAACAGTTTCTGACATTAACAATCTGATTTCTAAATATGCAGAATACTTGGCATTCAATACTTATTAAGATAACCCAGTGATCAAAAACTTTTGATCTAACATACCACGGCACTAAAACAAGAAAAATTACTGAGCTCAGTTAAATTAGTTTTTCCACAAAAATCTATTCCTGTTCACATACAATTTCCACATTTTCCCATTTCTCTACCGGTAAGTTGCAAGACAGCTAACTATACCACATAAATCATCTAAGCTCAACACCTTGACCTTTAATAAACCCCTCTATTTAAGGTTCTTTGCAAAAATATATCATATGTTGCTTAATGAACGATATATCTATCAGTCAGTTGTAAACAGTAGACAGTATGGTTGTACTTGCATTGGTCAACGTCAAACTCTGGAAGACCATGGTATACATGTGAAACTTTGTTCATTAAAAATTTATCATTTTAATACCTACCTCTCCTGCTTCATTAAACCAAAGCTCAGGATGAAGTCTTCTAGGATCTCCTATCTTTCTTTCTCTGACCCCTGCTACACTGGGGCCTCTATGGTCATGCTCATCCTCAACCAGGTCATCATCATCGTCATCAAAGCCTCCATTTTCCTGATTGTCCCCATCATTATCATCATCACCATCATCATCACTTTCAGAGCTGCTGCCACTCAACCCCTGACTTCTAAACTCACTGCCATCTTCATCACTGTTAATTTCCTCATCACTAATGCCAAGAAACTCTGAATAATTACTGACATCTGACTTCCGCCTAAACCTGGATTTTGGAAGACTTTCTTCATCCTCTGGTGGGTCCTCATTTAACTCAATGTCACCAAGTGATTCATCATCACTAAGATCTGAATTTGCACCAGTACTCTGCCTGCTGTTAACACTCTTGTCATCATCACATTCCAAAGATGGCATGTTCAATATTTCCTTCTCAAATTTGTTGTGCAGTTCAGTGAGTTTTTCTGTCCCTTGGACATTGCCATTATCATCATCCTAAGTTTAAAGTTTCCTTTTTAACAAATAGATTCTATGTTGCCATGCATCATGTCAGTAATTGATTGCATATGACATCAAAATGTAGAAAGAACAAAAGAGTGGCACATGAGACAATAGCTGAGTGTGTCACTGATGTTCTTACCACATTTTGAAGTCTTTGATAAATTACTGAACAGTTGCCTCCAACATGGAATCTATTTGTTTCATAAAATAAAGAAACAAATGTCTGTCCTTCAGTTGATCGTAAGTAAGAACCCGTCAAAATGCAAGTCAGAATAATTCAATAATTAAACCATGAGAACATGTGGTCAGATTGCTCTTCCTGTGATTGCATGAGAAAAGGGCAAAAATGTTTTAAACCAATCACAAGGAGTTTTCAAGCAAAACCATATCAAACATGAATTACTTTTGACACTCAACTGAAAATTGTTTTAACCTACATTGTAACACCTGGCATCTTTGGGCCATCAGATCATACTTATGTTGAGCCACAGAATGTATAGAGTACACATACCTTATCACTCTGCTTTTTGGTATAAAACTCCTCTGACACAACACATCTTACCACTCTTTCAACATTAGGAGGAGGAGGAGAAAAACAACGAGAAACTCTAGGGCTCTTCCTGCCACCAGCACCTGGGGTGTAGTTCCTTTTTTTTTTTTTAATAAAAGCAATAACAGAAAATATACAGACTTACAGGACAGTATATATCACAAATCCAGACTTGAACTGAATTACAATATACTTATAGAGTAACCTTGACAACCTTCATACAATGGTATATAAAAAAAATAATTGGTCATTGCAGTAATTCGTACTTAAATGAAATGCATGTAGTTTGACTCATCAGAAATTTCTCAGTAGATTTAGAAAAACAGTCTGCAGGAAAGTGCAAGCTTTAAGGCTTACCTCAGAAAAACCTGAGGTAGCACAAGCTATTGATGTAATGATGGTGCAAGCAAAGAGAGTCTTCGCTCTCAATTTCTATGGGTGACAGTTGACGAGGGCACTATCACGCGATAGACATCTTGAGCTTATAATCTAATTGTTTAAAAGAAACACTTGTCAAAGTTTGAGAAAACTCAAAAAAGCTGTGGAAACACTCACCTGCCACTTGTGTTCCTACAACATTTCTCGCTCACCCAGACTTGACAGAAACACAGAAAATATGATCTACTTCTTAAACATTAATTAAATTGTACAGTTAGTGCACTTTGTAAATCTGTCACCAACCTCCTATTTCCCCACTCTCTTCCTCTTTCACCATCTCTGTGAAAACCACTCTTGTGCTGTGGATTCAATGGATTAGAATTTTTCTTACGACCAAAAGATCTACGATCAGGACTGAAATCAGGCGTCCTTGTTTTGACAGGGCTGAAGTATTGTGGTACAGGTAGCTGCAACCTGCTGAACTGTTGCTGTACAGGTGGCTGGAGCCTACTAAACTGTTGTGGTACAGGTGGCTGCAGTCCACTGAGCTGATGTGATGCAGGAGGCCACATTCCATGAGGACCAGTCATGGCAGGTGGTACTTGAATTACACTCTCCCTCCTGGGTTGAGCTAGACCTAAGCCTACACTGTTACTGGGCTGTTGCATATGAGAGCTCATACCAATCACTTGTTTATCCTGAATGCATTTATCCAAAGCTGCAGCAACAGTTAAACCCTGGTGTAAGCTATTAACAGGCAGAGGATCTCTCACTAGCTTAGATAGACTGTGGAAAGGAGGAGAATGTTGTACTTGCAATGGGACCCCTCTTGGTGAAAGCAAAGTAGGAGGTGCAAATTGCTGCTGGGTTTGGGAAGGGATTGCTCTGGGTGAAGGTGAAGGAGGTGACATAATTGGTTGTGGGAAGGATGAAGCAACAGGCCCTCTCTGAATTGGGCGGAATCTGGTGGGAGGAGTTCTTTGTTGCCACGCTGGACTGTTGAAAGGTGAAGATTGAAGTACTGGGGATGCAATTCCCCTAGGTGACACCACAGTTGGGGGAACAGGTTGCTTGATTGGGGATGATGGAATTCCTCTGGGAGGAGACATAATAGCAGACATCGGTGGCTGCAGAGTCGGAGATGGGGTGCCTCTATGGGGTAGAAAATTAGAGGACGCAAGTGGTTGCTGGGTGGGGGATGGATGAGCTCTAGGTGATGGTACAGCAGGTGCCATAACTACAGGTCCTTGGTTTAAGGTGAATACAGATGGCTGGGAATTCCTCACTTGCCATGATGGGCTGTTGAACGGTGAAGATTGCAACACAGGGGATGTGATTCCTCTAGGCGAAGGCAAAGTAGATGGTACAACAGGCCGATGAACTGGTGGAGTAACCCCTCTAGCTAAAGGCAACGGAGATGACAAAGGCAATTGTTGCTGTACTGCTGACGAAATATTTGGGACCTGAGCAGCTGGAGGTTGAATCATACCCCTTGGTGGGCTGTGAAAACCTGTCGCTGGGTCGAATGGACCAACCCACTGCGGACGCAATCCCAAATGTTGTGAAGATGGCACTGGACTGGCTATTATCTGTTGCAAGGGAAACGCTTGCGGTATCTGTGTTTGAAATCCCAGATGCATTTGCTGCTGATTTGCCTGAAATTAAATTCACAAAACAGGAGACTAGGAAACGATTCGATTGAGATAGTAATATTTTTGTAGTGTTTGTGGTAACCCACACTAGAGAGATAAATATGACAGGCAACAGGTGCTCAAGCACGATGCTTACCGCACGGGGAAAACCTTGCGCTCCCGGCGGCCGAGTGATCTGCCCCGATGGCGGTCGCCACATTGTCGATTTAACCTCTTTGAGCAATTTTGTTACTTGCGCATGAGATCATCGAGTAGCTGATACACCATATTGAAGAACTAAAGAAATATTTTTGCTTCATAGTAGCTAGTCAGATTGGACAGACTGTCAAAAGCGGAAAGCGGTCTCAGCTTCATTCGCCATCTTGAATATTCAAAGTTAGTTCGTTTCCAGGTCTCTACGTCTAGTGGTCTAACGAGATCTGGGAACTAGTAGAACTACTTCCGGAACAGACCTCTGGGAAGAATCCAACATCATGGCGGCCGGAGGAGGCGAATGGTGTTTGATAGAAAGCGATCCTGGAGTTTTCACTGAATTAATCCGTGGCTTTGGTACGTATCATGATTCATTATATAATGCCAAGTATTCATTTGGACTGTGAACGGTCCTGTTTATATACCAGAAGATTCCAATTCAGTTCACGCTGATCATCTTCCGTTCCTGTTTTTGACATTCGAGTGAGTGATCTGATGCCGTAGAAGTCGCAGTTAAGAGCGTTTATAAATTTTGGACTGTCAAATTAATTGGATTTGCAGAAACTCTCTTTTAACACGTTTGTCTAACTTCGTGTGACGAGGAGTCCGGGATGTTACAATATTTTGAATCCCCTTTCATGAAGTAACAAGAAGCCTAAGGAAGCTTAAAACCGCGCGGTTAATACGTTTAACTGCATTTTTGCTGTTAAAAATGATAATTAACTAGTTTTTCGCTCACAAGATATTGCGTGATTCCTATTGTGACAATCACAAACAATATGCATTAAAATCCAGCTACTTATAATATCNCTGAATTTAAGTTTCATGAAGCATTTTCTTGTTTTGTAGACAACAGATGTTTGAATTTGATGCTAAACTCCCTCAGAAAGATGAAAATGTATATCACTTTGTGGCCTATGTTCCAATTAACGGCAAGCTTTATGAGCTGGATGGTTTAAGAGATGGACCAATTGATCTGGGTAAGCCTTTGATAAAACTATTAGTTTTTATTTACATACTAACAAAAATAATATTATCATGCTTTCATTTTGATGTGAACTGAAGTCGCTGTAAAACAGAGTCAACAGTGAATGTCAGTCGCAACAATTAGAGTGTAATCTCTTGCCACTAGTCATTAAAAGGAAATGCATGAAAAATTTCATTTTGGTTGCCTGGTTACAACTTAATTGTTGAAAACTTATTTGCAGTGAACACTAATCAGATTCATCTTTGACATTATTTTTATTAGGACCTTGTACTCCTGAAAACTGGCTCACTGTCTGCAAGCCAATCATAGAAACAAGAATGCAGAAGTAGGTACCATCACTGCATTTGTTAAAGGAGCTCAGTCACAGTGTTTTGTCTTTTTTTGGCTACATACAAAATCTCCTTTAAATGGAAGGAAACCTGAAAATAATAGTTTACTAAGATAGAAAAACATCAAAGAGATAATAATAAACCATAAAGGAACAAGGATGGTCAAGGATGGCGAAGATTGACACGGGTTGCAAACGACGAATTTGAAAAATTTAGGCTAAACTTTTCAAAACGTGCAAACCGTGACTGAGCTCCTTTAAGTAACAGGGGCTTATTTCTTTTCAAGGCTTTTTGATTGGAGTTGAAGATGAAGAGAGGGAGGGTACAAAGAGGAAGGGATTATGAACTACAAGTAGTCCTCCATAACTACTGTGTATGTAATGGTTTCTTTTTAGTTATCATCTCTCCAAAAAGTAGAAATAAAAAAAATTGATCACTCCAAAAGTATATAGTTACAATATAGCTCATCATCTATCATCATAAACTTTCTTTAAACTGGAATTTGAGAGCACCTATGGTTAAAATCTTCAAGCTAAATAATCAAAAATTCTAAAAAATATAAATTTACAATAAATGATACAAAACTGAAGATCTAGTTTTATAGTATTTTCCCACGTATTACTAACTACCTCTGATTTCTGGGTTATAATTTACTTTGTCACTAAAGCATGCTGTGAAAGATGAATCAGTAACTAGGGTATTTTGCTCACTCAGAATTGGAATTTTTAGATACTGGGTGATGCTTTACTTAACACACCAAAACAATACTAAATAACGAATAAATGTTGCTCAATGAAATTTTGTCCCTCAGATACTCAGCAGAGGAAATCCACTTCAACCTAATGGCAATTGTTTCATCAAGGAAGTCAATTCACCTCAAAGATATCGACAGACTGAACCAGAGAAAAACACAGATTTTAGACCAGGTATTTTTACATGCAACAGGCTAATATTAACTTAGGTTTGGCAGAAAAAGACCAAGCTGCTTTGAGGAGACAAATTGATGGCCCCATTCTCCACAAGTAGAGAAGGGAAAGATGGTGATTATTAATAGGTTAATATGCAGATATCAGTGGGTACAACCTCAGTGGCAGTGGCCATTCCCCTGGGTTGCCATTCTCCCTGTGGGTTGCACAAGGATATCAACCCATGGACAATGCATACTGCGTTACAGTATAAGCTTGGTTTGATGTTTTGTTGTAGAAGTGAGAACATTCAGTGAATTGAAGGGACCACAAGATGTGTTTTTCGATACATGCATTTGTTTAACAGCTGCCACCTTATAGATCTGCCATCTGAAAGACTAGCCTGCTGCCTGCGAACATCAAGTTCTGAGAACAATGACACGTCATGCCAAATTGTTTCAAGATACTTATATACAGAAAATGTTATAAACAGTTATGTCAGCACAGGTACTGCCCCCCTCCGCAGTCTAAATAGGGTAATATAGGTGGTGCTTCACTCTACTGACATGTTAATATGGTCTAACAATTTTTATTAACCGCGCGGCCATGGGCCGAGCGCGNCTCAGACCAAAAAACCCTCCATCAGAAGGGTATGGATATATCCTGGAACAACACATCCGTGCTGATTGATTGTTATTTCAATATTGATCATTCGTCAAATAAGATTGTGGATTGTATGAACATGAGTCACAATCATAAAGTAGTAAATTATGTATAAAATCCTCTTGCTTTCCAGGGAGGAGAGGGAATGGAGACTGACCAGATGGCATCTTCAGCAAGCGAGTTTCAAGCTATTATAAAGAACATTGATAGTGAAATTTCTCGACTGCAGACACTTATTGTGGGAGAGGATGACAAAATGATACGATACAAGGTAGGCTATGGATCCTTTTGATGATGGATAATAACATACTGGAACAAAACAATGTATTACTAACAGTTTTTAAAAAGCCATCAATCAATGCTACAAGTTTCAAAATCAGTATGGATTGGATAAGAGCTCTAATGACTAGGTTTGTTTTTGTCCCTATTCCAGATCATGAGATGCTACTCTGTCAGTTTCACATGCAGGAATGTGATTATTTTTGGAAAATGAAATATAAAGGAACAATCCTCAACACAAAAAGCTAAACAGGGTCCATTATCAGGGCTTAGTCGACTCTGATATGGTATTCCATTCCAAACTCTCTGTTTTTCCTGCCTCCTAGTGTTTGCATACAGGTTTTGTTTGTAAAAAACTAAGCTTGACTTCTGTAAGTCATGCGTGACAATGATGGCATTGTATGTTGTTTTACAGGTTGAGAACATCAGAAGAAAACACAACTATCTACCTTTGATCATGGAACTTTTAAAAGTCTTGGCCAAACAGGGAAAATTGGTGCCATTGGTGGAAAAAGTATGTTTAACTTTAACTGAAATTAATTGCCAGCACTAATAGACTATCTGGCTCTTCAAACCTGTAGAAGGAAATTAATTCTCCCTTCGAGGGCGAGTATGTCTATATGTAGACTATAGAACTAGAACAGACTTGCCCATTAAGTAACATGTCCTCCAGCTACTGCCTACAAGGGCCGTGTCTTGTGACAGTAGTTGAAATTATGATATGGCTTGATCCATGAGCGGGCAAGATGAACCAAATCCTACACTGTGATTGGCAACCTGAGCGGGCAAGAAGGCACTATCTTGCCCGCTTGGAACTATCCACTGTCTCACGCAAGAACACTTTCCCCAAAGGGCTTATAATGATTATTTACCAAGCTTGTTCAGTCAAGATGTCCATAAACGTGCCAACAAGAACAACATCAAACTATCTTGACCTCACGCTTGGTCAATAACACCCATATGTGACCATCCTGTCAACATCAGATTTGGTTAAAATATAGGTTTAGTGCTATAAATTCAGTTCAATCAGATTTTTCTTCTAGTCAAGGAAAGGGACAATAGCAGTTTGGCAGGTCTAGGAATGTCTGATTAGGGGTTTTTATGTTTTTTTGTTGGTGACAGACGAGTAAAATGCAACGTTTTCTTTCAGGCAAAAGAAGACGTTCAGGCCAAGAAGGCGGAGCAAGCAAAATGAAAGAAGACACAAAAGACACAAAATGCCCCGGCGACTTTCAGCAAAGTCAAGGAAATCTCTGCATTCAATTTTGTCAATTTCGTTTTACATTACCTGTACAGCAGCAATTTAAAAGTAAATTAAACGTTCCTGTATATGTTTTGTACAAAACACTTAATGACTGATTTACTAACTGCAGTACTGGAGTTATTTTCCACGATACTTCTAATTAGGATCTCTACAATTTCATTGCCACAGGAAAGCCCTGCTTTTAATACATGCACTTGGTTATCACGTCATTTCGTTTTGGCCGAAAGAAAAATTCAGTTAGTCACACTACTTTCATGCTGAAATATACTGGGAAATACGTATTGTCAGTTACATGAGAACACAAGTGATCTGTTTTTTGTATCTATAGCGAACTGGGTTCTTGCGAGTCTTGCTTGGAATCCTTTCCATGCTGCACCAGAAGCATTATAAACTCCGATGGTTCTCAAGTTGTTTTAAGCCCAGTGCTTGGATGTATCTGTGAATATCAACGCATATTGTTCACTTGTTGAAAACTCTAGAGTTGAAGCTGCAATAGTGTGGCCTACAACTGTTCAGAAATCGCTCCTGTCTCGCAGAATGCCACCCATAGCTGACGAAACCTTGTGTCACCGCAGGCTAACTTGGAACACAGATGCCACCTTACACCGAAATGCACGTAGGTGTAGTCCGGCACTTTCTAGCCTTCATGTTTAGTTTCCTAGAGGAGCTTCAGTTGTATTACAAAACAAAAAGAGAAGACCGAGTACAGTTCATGGGTTGTCTTTGCAGGATTTCACAGCACTCTGCAGCACACGCGTTCCTTTCGATAGTGAAACCTAACTCGTCATATATCCTTGCCTGAGAGAAATGAAACAAATGGGTTTAGCATTTACGGCTTTGATGTCTTAGTTTTAAGTACTTTCTTTGTACTTCATTTAGCAGACGTACCCAATATTTATGTTTCAGTTTCCAAAATTGTTTTATGGCAATACTTCACTATAATCACTGGCGAAAGATATAGTATTGAACCATCAGTATAGCAAATAGTTCTTCGTAAGCATCTGAGGGGCTCGTTTCTCGAAGGTCCCAAAAAATTTTTGCAACCGGAAAGCCGTAGCAAAATCTCAAACCTCATGATTACGAGCTATTTTATTCACATATTCTTAATATGAACAGAAGTCCTCTTCACACAAGAAGTTTCAGGCGCATACATCTCTCCGTTTTTAGATACAGATGAACTAAAAATGGCTTTTCGGGCCCGAAAAGTTTCCGGGTCTTTCGAGAAACGGGCCCCTCTGGCCCGGATTGTTCGAAAGGTGGATAACGCTATCCAACGGAAAAATCACTATGGGATAGCGCGGTTTGTTTTGTCACAACTTATCCACTGAATAGAGATTTATCCGCTGAATAGCGTCCGCCAGCCTTTGAATGACTGGGGCCTGGCTAGTTACGTTTTCTTTAAGGATCGAACACAGAAATCACCTGAAAATACAAGACATCTCTTGTTTTGTTGACAGCGCCTAACTTTCTAAACCCTCTCACGATTCTGTCCAGGGTTGGCAAAGCAGAACGCAAATCTACGAGATAGAGAACAAGAAAGTAAAAACATTTTGACAATTGATTATAGCAGTATCAGAACACAACGCAACGACAAATCCTCAAAAATGTAAAGAATGTTTATGTGCTACTGACTAGCCTTTCGCATTCCTTTAACTGGTAACTTTTTGATACAAGGTTACATAGTTGTGGCAATTCTTTTTTTAGTTTTATAAAAGCATCCGCACCAGATCAAAGATTAAAAAAAATCATTTGTGGCAGTTCGTTAAGGAGCAACAGCGCGGATGGTGCATGATGTCCATGATCCGGCTTACTCTTTACCAATCTAGCAATGTTTCTTTCTGGTTTAGTGTTTACCCATTTTATTATTTTTTTTTTTTCCACCTTAGTGGACTATTATTGAAAGTGATTTTTCTATGTTCACCAGAAAAGAAATTTATACATGTGCCGTGCGATGTAGATTACCTTACCATTTTCCCGTTGTCCTTTATCTTGGTGATGCGATGAAGCAGTCAGTTGGCACTTGACCAATAAAAACCGAGCGCAGCATTGTATATACAGAGAACCTGAGTAAAAAACTGACAACAGTTTAGTAAAGCACAACGAAGTTTGACCGGCTTAAGGTTATTTCCGAGTTACTTTATGCCTTCGTTTCAATATGAAGTTGAGTAAAACGCTTATCAACAAAAAGCGCTACTCGCGTGATCCTCTTCACGTAAGTCAAAGCTGTTTCCCTACATGAAAAGTTCTACTTCGGGCCTCACAGTCACTGATGTTAAACCTGACGCAAATGTCAACTGCGAAATTGCCTGCTTAAAGCGAAATTATATCAGGCTCTCGGGTCTGGGTGAAAGTTGAGGGAAATATATGCGCAAACGATACAAAGAACAGGGCGTTTCTTCAAAGGTTTTTCCTTCAGCGCGAAAGTCAGTGCAAACGCAAAAGAAGGAAAGTACGTTTTCCCCGCTTCCGCCTTCGACACCTTTAACGCTGAAGGGAAAAAACTGTGAATCACAAGGACAAAGGAAAGAAAACTACACTAATTAATATTACATATTTTAGAAAAACCCCAGGTCCAGGATTATCATATGTTTATATCTGAGTATGTCAAACAATTGTAAGTGGTTCAAACTCACCATGTGACAGAATCTGGATCATGGTTCTTTTTATCAATGCAACCGCTTTAGCTGGTAAACCTAATGAAAGCTTTCAAACACAGTAAAATGAATTCATTAGTGTCAGTCAAATAACAAGTAAAGTTCACGACAAGGAAGCAAACTTTTTCTGAGTACTACGATGCAGCTTGTTCATAAACCTAAAATCGCGAGATTATAATGGCCATGCTAACTAGGCTAATCTCCCCATTTAGGAAGTAAATACCGAGGAAACAGGGAGCGGAGAGACAAAATCAGTTACACAAACAGGGGCGCATCCAGGATTTTTCTTAGGAGGGGGTGCACCACTAAGGAATGGCGTAAATTGTTGGTGAGGTAAACACATTTTAAAAGCGAATACGAAGAAGAAGGCTTCATGTAAGGGGAAGTGCGCACCCCCTGCACCCCGCCCCTGACAAATCTACTCACACCAGCCTGATTTTCAGACGGTCCGAACAGTCTTAGAATCAGGCCACCCGAAGACGAGGGAACTGCTGGATTAAAGACAGTTGCATAGCAATACTCTACGTTTTACCATATACCTGGATTTGTGCGATGTAGAGTGAGGCTAAGGCAGCGGAATTGTCCATGAAGTGTGAACAGGATATAGTTAAGCAGTTCAAGGCATATGGTAAGGCAGAAACAGGGTCCTCCAGTAATATAAACAACTGCGTCAGCGCCAGAAGAATTCTGAAAATAACAACAAAATAAAAAGTATGAACTCCCAGTAACTGACCTGATCATTCTCCTGTGAGACCATAGCTTTTGTGTTATTATGCCATTTTGTCTTTGAGAATAATAAAAGTTCAGTAGTCCAGTTAATACGACCATATTTAGGTCGCCCGTTGGTAGTAAGATATATATCTTATTAAATGTTTTGGTGTGTAGTATCGCTGTATATTTTTACGAGTTGTGCCGTATTTTGACGAGACCGTAGGGCGAGTCAAAGTACAAACAACGAGTAAAATTATAAAGCGATACTACACACCAAAACATCTAATAAGAGATTTATTATCCAACTGCTGTAGTCAATAAATTTATCAGTGAAAGAGGAAGAGTGTGACAGTTTTGCGTGCGCGCGCCGACCTGTACGGCAAACAGGTTTTCTACTGTACAAATAACTGTACAATATCGCTATAAATTTGTACTATTTGGACGGTATTTGCTGCAGTTGGATAATAATAACCTATAATCGTGGACAAAAGTTTCTGGGACGCTTAGGTTATGTGATGAATTATCTGTGTTTTACAACTGAAGTTTGAAAAAAGCACTGTCATTCTTTTAAAAACGCGTTGCTGTTCTCCCTCCCCACCCAATACAATGTTGAAAATCAGGAGAAATTGCAGGTACTAGTTTTCAACATTGTATGTGCGGTGGGGGGAGAGGTTAGGCAGGCCAAGTTGCATTCGCGTCTGGCGTATGTGCAAAAGCGCCAAAAGTGCACTTTTGTCCATGACTGTAGCCTCTTATGCAGAAGCTCTTTGGGCTCGTCACGCAATCTTCCTCCCCTCGTGAGGGACAAAGATTGGGTGACAAGCCTAAAGAGCGTCTGCGAAGAAGGTTAAGATCACCCAGACTGCGAGAGTTACAATCAGGTCAGCTGTTGGACCTGGTAGATGTGTTCCTTACAACAAGGAATTCCTTATATCCGAGTTTGATACTCTCATGAACGGCACCGAGACCTTTGTTCGAACACCATGTCCCACTTTGGTTCTGGAGTGAAAAAGTTTGTTCCTTAGAACGGAGATTGCTGAACTAAGTTTTCGCTGTACACTTACTTATTATATTTTGTAGGCTATATTTGCCTGAAGTCGTCTCGTCATGTTGTTATGTTGCAGAATTCTTAATGCTGAAAGTAAGAATTGACAATACCTCGCTTGGTACTCAGCAGCTGATTTCTTGGTATCATTTATGAACACTTTGTCTCTGGAACAGACAGAATAAAGAATACCAACTTTTGATTAGCCGATTATAGAAACACCAAACATATTTATACAGGTCAAGTAAGACCCGGAAGAATAAATCACTGTACTTTATGGAAACTCTGTGCGACGTCCATCCTTGGAATGTTGTTTCGGTTAGTTGTTGCAGTCAGAATAACGGATTGTTTCATTTTATAACGGTTGAAGAAGTGCTTTTGGACTTCGGGCCAAAACAGAAACAGAATTCAAAAAAGAATTGGACATCATATAATCATGCAGCAAACATGTACGATCACAGATCATTCTCGAAGAAGGTAAGGAATAAAGCTGAGCTGACCACTGATACAGATTTCATTCTTAAGATGACAATTTATTTTATCCGATCTTATTACCTGGAACTTTCCAATAGCTTCTGTAACATAGGGAATGCTACAGTATAATCTCCTGAATAAAGCACATTTAAAGCAGATCTAAATAGGAAAGAAAAAGTTGTTTCGTCATCAAAGTGTTACCAATCCTAGAACATCACAATAGCAACAACGTGTTTTGTTCCAGTCCCTGAACTGTCTTTTTCCTGCCCTAGCTAGGTGTTAAACCCATTCTGCATTCTACTCCACGTGGGGTGGGAATGGGAGAGTAGATGGGAATTGCGGTCGCTTCGTCCGAAAACCAGTTCGCCCGGACTTATACTCGGCTCGCCCAAACTATTAGCTCACTGGTCAGTGCTCAATGGACTAAAAAAAAATTGTGATTTTCTTTCATTATGCCCACATTGTTGTCTCTTTTGCTCGGTTAATGAATGAGAAATTTTAAGTACATCATCCCTTAAACTTTCGGTCCGGGCGAATAGACTTTTGGTGCGCGCGAATTGACATCGGGCGAAACAAAAAGTCGTCAAAATACTCAGCCTTCTGTAAGTCATGAGTTATTATCTCCTCGTTGTGGTTGTGGTCAGGACTTAGCGTCTTGCCAATTTTGAACTCCAACCTGCTTTATCAAATAAATTATGTATGTATGTATGTATGTATGTAAACGACTGGTTACCGTTGATCGACTGGACTTGTAGTATCTACCAAAAAGATTTGCTTGCACTGTTACGAGGCTCAATGTCGTGTTTCAACAAACACAAGACAAACCCGACTTGTATTGCTTACCTGTACTGCGCTTCAGGTTCATCCACTGCTGCTAGCTGCTCTACACAAGTTTTTGCTTGTTCCATGTCCCCCCGTAGTAAAGCTCTGTTGTGCTCCATTTTGGCTTCAGACGCCATCCAAAGCTAAAACAAAAAACAACAAAACACATGCCTACAATAGCACTAATAGCTGGTCTTCTCTATAGACATGTATTAAAAGATGGCTGCCACCTTCAGAAAACGATGGCCGATTCTAGCTATGGCCAGCCATTTGAATTTTCGGCTGTTGTTCCAAAATGTTTTTTAAAAGTTTACTGATCATGACAGCGAAAGGTCAACTTATTGCAGACCTTTCAACGCATTGACACAGCAGTCCCGAGAAACTGTGGTTAAGAGATATACTATCACCCCGGTGTTATCTTTGAAGGAAAAAATTACTCTTGATGTTTGGTTGCAAAATGCCTAAAATTGTAGGTTTTTGACGGTAACCCCTACGTTGTAATCAGTAAGACTACAAGCCCTCCTTTTCTATCAGCCATAGTCTCCTTGGCTATGCCACGTTGGCTATTTGCTCACAAGAAATCTGGGCTTGTTCTCTATTACACTTGGCAAAAAATTTTCCTGTTCAGCATATATGTAGCAGTTACCAACCCAAGACAGCTTGGAATGTTCATGAAACTTTGTTCTGCAAAATGATAGGACGTCTGATGCCTCTTGAAACAGTCCCTAGAAAAATAACCACAAAGTGAAAAGGATTAACGATACTCTGACTTATAAAATATTTACGCCTTGGCCAACGGTAGAAGACATTACTGTTGTCTTTTCACTAAATTTTTGATAGCCCCTGTCCACCTTCAATGGTAAATAAGCACAATACACATTTTGGCATCTTTGCTGTTGTATGAGGAATAAGAAAGAAAGGGGCCAAGGGAGATCACTTCTTTTATTAAAAACTGGATCATTGGATAATGCAATTTTAGAGTTTTCATTGTCTTAGCCACCTTGGGTTATGAGTCATTATACCGTGCACTATAAATATGGTAAGCGTACCCATGATTTTTTGGGGCATTTTTACGGTTGTTTTAGCTTCGTTTTCTATATATTGGGGGCGTTTTCAATAAAACAATTATTCTACTCGTATGTATATGTATACGAGATGATTATAGCCAACTCATATCCAACGCACGCTCATGGAATAATTGTTGATTATTTTTTTTAAGACACAAGCGTTTTACTGGAAAATACACCACTCGCAATATTCATACGAAACTTCTTCCCTGACGCGGGTGGTGTATTTTCCACATCCTCAGTGTTGAGGGTGATGACCTCATTTCCCGCTTTTTCACAGTTGTTTGCTCAACAATCAGTTAGTCTACATAATAAAAAGAAAATTACACGGTGGCTTGAGGATATAAATTTTTTTTCTCGCGTTTAAACCAATATTTTACTCACTCGCTGCGCTCGTTCGTGAAATATTGTTTTTACCACTCGAAAATAAAATTCATATCTTAGCGTCACCCTGTAATATTCTTTATTAAATATAAATCTACTAGGGTTCTATCACGAATGCCGTTCGCTGATTGGCTATGCTAGTCACTATCTATTCTGTTGTAGATAGTAGGTAGCGTAGCAGTGTGCGCTTGTTTTCGAAGTATCTGTGAAGAGGATTTAGATTAAGTTTTGAACGACTAGCAGATTTATACTAAAACAATCAGATTATTCGCTCTCGATTTCTATACGTGCTGCGCCCTTCGTCAACTATCACATGTTATATTTTACCACTAAATTTTCTCCGATTCTTATTGGTTTAAACTGATCACGTGACGCGATAGTGTTCATCCGCGGAAAGACACTATCAGCTTATAGTGCCTGTCCGAGGAAAATACCCGGATGGATAGTACTCGTCCGTGAGAATATTTCTGTAAACAAGCGGGCTTGTAGAAAATAAACAATTGAATTTGTATTAAGAGGGTTTTTGTTTGTTTTCTTTTTCAAATTCTACATTTGGCTTTCACGGCTTTCATCTAAAAAAGTTGAAAATAATTCAATATGATTTTTGAACTGGCGCACGGAAGAAAATTTAGTGCTGAACAATAAAGACAATAGAGTGTTTATGTCTCGGAACTATTGGTCTGATAGTTGCCCCTTGGAAATTTGATGTTCTTAAAATATGCTAGTTTTAAGAACATCAAATTTCCAAGGGGCAACTATCAGACCAATAGTTTCTCGACAGAAACACTCTATTGTTTAAATAGAAATCTCGAGCTCATAATGTAATTGTTTAGTATAGAATGATGAAAAATCTATTCAGTGCAACCTACTCTGTCGGCATGTTGCTCGGCAAGAATGCATAATGAGAGGCATGTGGCTTCTGCACTTTGTATCCCTGTACTTTTACTAATTGACGACATAGACTCGGAACTTGGCAAAGTGTTTTGATGCAGTGGAAATTGTGTGAAGATACCTGCCAGACAACTAAAAACAGCAGCAACCTATCAAACAACAACATTCAGCCTGATAGGATTGTTTTAACATAACTTATAATACAGTTGAAACCTGCTTTGTGGACACCTGCTAATACTGAGACCTGCTTATTGTGGTAGGTCTTGTTTGTCCTGACGAAAAGCTCATATGTTTTCTCTTTCGTTAGCCCCCTTAATAAAACACTGGTTGAAATGGACATTGGACATTTTCCTGCGACCCAAGTGGCCTGCTGTGATATCAAAATAACCTTGCTTGACAGATAATGGTTATCTACACACTATATATTATCATTTGTCATGGCTATATGCTAATAATTAGCATTAAGATTATTGTAGCCTGTTAGAAAATGAAATATTTTTAACAAGTTACTTGATTTCTCTTTTTTATTACTAATACAGTTATTTGCACAGTGGCGCAACAAGTTTGACAATGGAGTTAACGGTTACCGTAGGAACCACTTTAGACAGTACAATTTGTGCTTTGATTTGCCCTATTTTTAATTATTCCTTCTTTAAAATGTAAAATTTTCACGAACGAGTACTTGTAAACGGAGCTTGTTGTTGTTGTTGTTGCTGCTTTCAACTGCTGCATTCAACACGCTAACAACATGCCTGCAGTCTGTATAATTTGTTTCAATAAAATAAAACCCATGTATCGATCCTTCTCTACTTCTACAAGAAAGTTGTGCACATGGAATGGGTCCAAAGCTCTGCAGTGGAAAGCTTCTCACATGCAACAGTCACAAGAAAAACCTATACCGTATAATATTTAATATTAGCCCTAATATTATCAATAGGCACCTAAAGTCCTTTCACAATCCCACAGGGTACATATCAGTGGCGATTCCAGACCTTGAGATAAGGGGGGCCCAGTTTTTTGCTTGCCCTGCTGGCTTTTCTTCCTTCTGTGATTTTTTTTGCCCAAAATAAGGCGGGGCCCTGGGCCCCTCCCCTAGATCCGCCAGTGCATATTTTTTTTATTTTTACCCAGTCAGAGTGCATTAAAACTCTAATGACTTACTCTTTACCGTAGATCTGCCATATGGCAGCTTGTTGGACATGTGCTGCAGCATTGAGGTCACCAAGAGAATTTTGAGAATTGATAATGATGTTGACTTGACAAAGGTTCTGCAAAACTCTTAAAAAAGACAATGCAGTACTGTTACAGTATATACAGTTTTTACTGAGGTAGCTGAACTGAAAAAAGTTGACCAAAGTTCAGATGCATAAGAAGAAAAAGATAACTTTACTTCAAGGAGGTGAAAAACACCGCAAGCGGTTACCTGGTAGTTAACATAATGGCCCTTGCAATTAAAAAAAGCCTGCAATCAAAAGACTTTTAAAAAAAAGCCATAAAAAAAACCTGCAAAGCACCTAAGTCAAAGCATGAACAAGTTTTCATCGTGACAATTCTGATTACTATTGGGAGACTTGTGTTTGAACAAACTAATCAATTCCACTTAAGTTAAAACCCCTGCTAAATGATTAAACAATTTCATCTAATGTTGCAGTTTTCTTTGATATTGAACGGAATGGCCAAACAGTCACATATTCTAAGTCGAACAAGAAATTGAACTATATCACAAATCTTCATCTAACTATTTATGACCATAACAATGATAAGCTCTGGCAGCTATGAGCCAGTTGGCTCCAAGGCTTCACTTACTTGGGAGGAGGGGCACCTGCCAAGGCATCATACTGACAGTGATTCAGCATTCCAAGAGATGTTAAATACTGCAACAATAATCATGACACCAAATCAATACATTATATTCCTAACACGCTTAGAAAGTTGACGACCATCCTGAGGTTTGGGTGATTGCCAAGTACAAGATATTGTGGAGAAATTTACCTTGCCTACAGTCAAGAAGAGTGAACAAAATGTAAACTAACTCTTGGGCATACAATTTTGAAGGAGAAAATTCCTTAGAAGTTCACAACTGAAGAAAGTACTCCATCTATCCAAATGTAAGGAAGAGAGGGAGATAGACACTGAAAGAGGTCTAAGAGGTCACAACTGAAGAAATAAATTTATCCGTCAAAACAAAAGCAAGAGAAGGATCTGGCTACCTAAAGATCCAAAATGTTTAAAGCCCAGAGGACTAGCTGCAAAGGGGGAACAGGGCTGTCATTAAGGGCTGTAACCTGTAACACCTGTTATGGCTGTGAATGCTTGATTTTCCCTTCATGCTATGGGTGAAATCACCTGTTGTTGATAGAATTCAACCACAGAGTAACAAGTTTGCTACAGGTGTGGAGAACAAGGCTACAGGTGAGTTAAAACTTAATGACAGCCCTGGGGAATGTGTTAAAGTTTTGATTTCATTGTTATATTGATTAAGAAGATGATCCATTACAGGGCTGTCAATAAGGGCCATGACTCGTAACACCTGCTGGGCTGAGTATGCTTGATGTAATATATCAAACACGAGACAGTGTTTCATCTGGATATCCAAACACTGAGAAGAGAGTTGAAAATATGACACACAGCAGAGTATTTTTGACAAAATTCGAGGTGTTTGGATAGCCAATGAAACACTGTCTCAAGTGTTTGATAAACCTTCTGAATCAAAACAAAAACTAAGGAGTTAACAGAGAAGTAAAATCGACAAAATCTATGCCAATTTAGACCGAGTATCCAAACCTCCTTCACAGTTGCGATTTTCTTTGTCTTAACTTGATGAATTATTAATGAATTTGAGAAGGACCTTTGATGTAACTTGCCTATAGTTGATACAATTCACCCATAATTCACCACATGTTTGTTACAGGTGTGAAGATCAAGGCTATGGGTGACTCAAAACTTAATGACAGCCCTGCATAAGGTCTTAAAATTTGAATATACTTCAAGCCATAGGAGTTGCTAGATACTGCTTCTACATACAGGGATCTTCAACTCAGCAGCTCTGGCAACAAATCTGTGGAGCAGAAGCTTTGCTTGAGAACTGCCATCCTGGTCCAACCTATAAAGCCATCCCTACAAGGAAACAAATAATATTAACCTGTTACATGTAAACAGCAAAATCGAAACCATTTTTGTTCCAAACTTAAGACATTTAAACCCGAAATTGATGACTAAGAATTTAGTGCTGCTGTACCAACCCCAGCAGAACACCATGCAGGATTTTTTTTTAAAGAAATTGTGGCTCTTCAAAGGCTTGCAAAACCTTAATGGCTAGGATCTTTCAAGGATCCCAAGGATTTGACAAGGATCTCACAAAGACCCTAGCTAGCATATTTTAAAAAGTTGCTTATAAGATTTTTGGTAGATCCTTGAAGACCCTTGAGGATCTTGGTTGTCAAAAGACCATTGACATGGAGATTTTTAGTGTCCTCACTGGTAGACCCTTGAGCCTTGAAAGATTTAGGTTACGAAAGATGGTATCTTAAGTTCAGTTGATCATTTCCTTTATTCGTATCCCCTGACATGAAAAATATGTCACTGTAATATGGCTCAAACATTTTGTTTTGCCATCCTAGGTTGCCTGGACTAAAACAATCCAAAGTGTAGACAGCTTAAACTGTCAATAAGTCATTCCTACAGTCATGGACAAAATTCTCGGGACAAATTTGCGGTATGGCACTTTTTCACACATACCAAACAAACAGTAGTACACAAATGCAACTAGACTGGCCAGCCCCTCCCCTACCCCACCTAGAATATTGGACACTTGTACCCACAATTTCTCCTGAGTTTCAACATTGTATTAGGTGGGGGAGGAGGAAAAGCAACACATTTTAACAAAGATAGCAGTGCTTTTTCAAACTCCAGTTGTGAAACACACTCAGACAATTCATGACATTCCTGGTACATCAATGTCTTAAGGACTATTGTCCACCGTTATAGCCTGAAACCAAAATGTTATTGTTATTTACCAAACAATGCTCCAAACAAACATGGTCATTTGTTTCTTGTGCTATCTGAATGGCTTCCTTTAATGCAGCTAATGCCTCTTGTCTGAAAACCAACAGAAGTTAGATTACTTACAGACATAGCAAGACTGTATTTTAACTTTTTTCTTAAAGGCTGCTCATTAAAGGACCCTCATAGTTTCTATATCATGAAGAGATGCTAGTTCATAACACATAATCCCAAGCATTTTTGTAAGGTTGTCCCTGTAATTTACCAGTACCCATTTATAATGCTGGGTGCCACAGAGAAGCAGCCACCTGTGTGAGAAAAGTGTCTTTAAAAGGCTGTAAGTGAGAAAATGGGGTACAAAGATGGATCCAGAGGAAATAAACATTACTATAGGAATGCAAATGGAACTTGCAAGAATGCCTCAGCTAAGTGATCCCTTGTGTACCTCAAGGCACACAAGGACATTGTTTTTTAACTGATCATGAAGTACAAAGAATGTCAGGCTTTGATTAAGATGTAGGCTCACACAGTCAGGGATTTACTATCAGCTATTTCAAACTACAGCTATTTTGAACTATTTTTCATTTCCCCTGAAAGTTCAAAATAGCAGGGTTCAACTGTGTTACCATTAGTAAAATGTTTAGTTATAACAATAATCGGAAACCAAAGTCTTTTGCTATTGTTTTCATTCTTCTCTAGTCTTGAGCAAGACCTCATCGGAAGCATACCTGTGACCAAATCGGCAGTGAAGAGCAGCCAGGTTCAGGGCAGCATATCTAAATCTGTGACACCTTTCAGCTTCAACATCTTCCGAATCCGACGCTATCTTAATAGCAGATTCCCCTTGCCATTGTTTTCGATCAAAGTAATGATATAGACTGTCCAATGCCTCCTTAAATTCCTTTGTTCTCAAACAGTTAAGAAAGCTTGTGTAATGCTGTAAAATATAGGTTGATATAGTATTACAGGGTTATGCATGATTATCAAAGGGTATTATGTGGCCATTGCATTGTGTTAATCAAGGTTGTTTCAGGTTGTTATTGCAAGGTTTTCAACAACATAGGTGTGTAATCACCCCTTTTTTGTGGAAAAAATGTTTTGATTGCACTAACTAAACGTTGCACTACAGTCTACAGACAAGACTATGGACGATCAGATGCTTCTTAACGAGCTAACAAGTTGCACAAACAAAACTCACAGCCTCTGCAATATTTGGAGAAGCTGTTAAAATATCTGTTATTCTTGACTGTAATTCAGGTGGTGACAGGGCTTCTCCCTCAGCAGACTGGATCAGAGAAACCTTGAAGACAAGAGATACCAGAGGGTTTATTTACAGTCGTCACAATAAAATGATGTAAAATTAGAAAGGCCATTTTATCAAAAAAGAAAAATATGAAGCTTAATTCTTTGTTTTAGATTACTAATAAAAAATAAATTTAAAATAATGGACAGTCTTATTTTTTTTACCACATAAGCAAAACTTACTGTCAAAATTGGGGAAAAAGACATTTTATCTACTGCTTTGTTTCAGGTTGTTATTAGCCTGAGTAACAGCCACCCTCCTAAAAAGTTAGTAATCTGTTGATAATCGTGTTTAAAGCCATGTGACTTTTCCGGAATACGCTGAAAATGACCTGATTGGTGATTGATCTGTTAAATAAAGTATAATATTTGTAAATTGTTGAACTTGGCGCTTTGTGTTTTATTGTTCACCCTGACAAACATCTGGAGAGTTGGCCAAAGAGACCACAATGGAATTTGTACACTTTGTGAGCGAGATTTAGATGTCAACCTTTGAAGTTTAAAAGCCAGCTATACAAATTACGGTAAACCACAAAGTGTCCAAAATGATAATAGCTGAGTTTTCATCACTTTCCTTTAAATTTAGTGATAAATACAGGTCTAGAGTGTTACCTGTTTTGCCAGGAAGAACTCAGCTTGTCTGTTTGACACAGAACCTTGCAGGAATGGTTTTCTGAAATGGGCCAGACAACATTTTCCTTAGTAAGCCACAACCAGCATCATATGCATGCAATGAGAAAACAAATGTACTGTAGTTATACCCTATGATGCTTATTAATATTAAATAACAACTACACTTAAAAGTGTTTGACAGGCTAGAGTAAAAGGAATTATCTGCATGCATTACATTGTAACGTTAATCCTTATATATTAAATATTTGGAGTGTGAAGATGTTTACCCTGTCCTTGACATGTCATTCTTATTTCCCTCGTCTTCATTCTCCACACTTTGCATGGTGACATCCAAGCTAGTTTCCATTTCTTCTTTGTTATTATCATTTTCACTGCTACCCAAATAAGTCTTCAGCATATCCACAAAGTGACTCACTTGACTGAAACTCATCTTATAAAATGATAAGGCCATCCGTCTTGTAAACAGACCTGGAAAACATGGCCAACTAATTTACAAAAAATATGTTCTTCTTGATTAACGAGCTAGAGAACTTCAAATTTCATGTTACACAGGATTCATCATTGAACTGGCTTTATATCCATATGAAAAAAAAATGTATCAAAAATATGAGAAAAACACTTCCTTCTCTTACTTGATCATACACTTTCCTTAATAGGTCCTTTGCATAAATGGCATCTAAATTTGAATAACAATAGTTTATACATCCTTAGCCTCATACTCATGTTTCAAGACAAAGGATTTTTTTACATGAATGTGAGGCTAAGGGTGTATAAGCATTGTTATTCAAATATAGGCGCCATTTATGCAAAAGGGTCTATACCTTTCAGTGAGGAAGGTGGGGGTGTTTATTTCAAAGTGGAGTTTAAGAGAACTGCTCAGTGAATGTATAGCTCAGAGTACTGGTATCTGATTCTTTTTATTCAGTCAAACAATACTGACTGTGTACACACCAGGATTTTTTGGGGTCATGTGTACCAAAGGCATCCATGGTTGAGTGTCAATAAATAGCCTCAATCAATACCTTCAATCAACCCTCAACCAACACTAGACTGATACTTTATCAACACCGCAGATGACACTCAATCAGCACTTGATCCACATCTCGGACGTGACAATAATTTTTGCAGACATGCCATTGAGTGTTGATCAATATGTATGAGTTGGTCGGCACTTGGTTGACTATTGACCGACTGTCAATTAAGTGTCAATCAAGATGGTGATCGTGTGTCAACTGAGTGTTGGCTGAATATTGATCGAGATGTAAATCAAGTGTCAATCAAGATGATGATCAAGTGTCCATCAAGGGTCGATTGAGGGTATTGAATTGGACACTCAACTACAGATGCCTTTAGTACACATGATCTATTTTTTTAGCCATGAGTTAAAAATCAGGTGTCTGAGAAACATTTCTCCTTAGAACATTTCATAAAAATGTTACACATTATAGGTCCATTTTTCTATGACTTTGTCCCAAGTATGGGTCTGCAGGATGTAATATATCAAACACAAGAGACAGTGTTTCATCAGGATATCCAAACACCGAGAAGAGAGTTGAAAATACGACGCCTAACAGAGTATTTTTGACGAAAATCGAGGTGTTTGGATAGCCAATGAAACACCGTCTCGAGTGTTTGATATATCTTCTCAATCAAAACAAAAACTAAAGAGTAAACAGAGAAGTAAAATCATCAAAACCTATGCTATTTAAGACCGGGTATCCAAACCTCCTTCACGGTTGTGATTTTCTTTGTTTTAACTTGATGAATTATTAATGAGTTTGAGAAGTTAAAGGTAATATATGGCAAGTTTTAAGCAATTGAATCAATATTGAAAACTCTAGGCTCATTAATGACAACAACAGGAGCCACTTAACATGAACTATAACCTCATTTTTTACAATACCACACTAAAATCTTGTTGACATTAAGACAAGACTCAGTCAAACATAAACTACTGAATTATTAATCTTGTCAAAATTGCTGTACACAACAAAGTTCCTATAACGTCATTCTGATTTTTTCAACTGAGAACCTACCAAACAAGCTTTTTTTGTGTAAAGCAGGTTCTTGTCCTATTAACAGGTTTTCTAGTGACTGAAATAATTCAGAAATCCCAGATACTCCATTCTCCACAAAGCTGTGTAAACTGCAACATAAAATAAATTTGATTAATAATAAAAGACAAGTATACCAGGCTTCACATAAAATGGTGGATATACTGAGTTGGATATTTCAGGGTCAAGACTTAAATACAGCATTATGGTACTGACTTTTGACCAGAAATTTGGAATTTGCAGCATCATCCAAAATTCTAAAGTCAATTCGAAAGGGGTAAAATTCCAAACTTACCACAAGTTGAGCCCTTTTCTGACCCTTCTGTATTTGCTCTGTTTCTATATCTCAGCTGATATGGCAAAACCTGGCATGGCATGCAAGGTCCATTAAGCTTGAATAAATTTACTACAAGTTGGAAAATTGAATTACAGTAACATATAAAGTTAAAATCAAACCTTTTCACAAGCAGGTCATTCAAGTTATCATCCACAGTGTTAAGCTGCCTGCAAAGCTCTGTTAATTCTAAATCTGGGGTCTAAAAGAAGATATTGCAGAATTGTCCATAAGTAAAGCCTCTAACTACCACAGACCTTCTGATGTAAGGAGAAAGATATTTCATCTGGGGACAGTAAGGGAAAATTTTAAGAAGACCAAATTAAAATTAGATTTATTCCCCCAAATGTTTATATTCTTGATTTGTTTAGAATAAAACTTGAAACAAACTTATCAATTACTTCCAACCCTCAAACCCTAGAATTCATGGTCAGTCAGCAGTCCCTGGAGTGGAGGAGGGTAATCCCTTATATGGGCTTATGGAGACATGCCAATGGATGGGGTATGCTTTTTGAACGTTTTAGTCTGGAACAGGGTCAGTAAAAAATAGTGTTCACTTGTCTGGAACAGGGTATCATTTTCCCACAAATCAATACATGTCTTGCTTAGACATCAGAAACAAAACGTCTTTTGTATCAATGAATAAAATGAAATTACTAAATACTTGTTAAAAGCTTTCGGTTCAACAAACCGTAGATCTATGTTCAATAAAAACAATATAATTTTTACCTATGGAAATAATCTAGAATAGGCATTTAGCCTGGAACAGGGTCACAAAATTAGGATTTCTTGGTCTTGTGTAGGGTAAGGGTGTTTAGCAACAGCCACTTAAGCGCATCCCATACTACCAAAATAACCTCTCCACAACAGCCAGTTAATCAACAACTGGTGTGTACAAAACGCCATGTTTAATATATTGTAAAAGGTCATGAAACTTGATTCATACCATGTATCATTGGTCTCTGTTGCTGTCTGGTTTCTGTTTTATATACACAGTTCAACCCCTCTTAAACGGCCACTGTGGGGGAAATGGGTAGTGGCTGCTTAAAGGGGGCTGGCCGCTTAAAAGAGGTAAAAACAATAGAAAAGCCTTCATTGGGACTTCGATTACTGACCACCTAATAGAGGTGGCCACATAATAGGGTTTGACTGTATTTTAATTTTCTTAGGTATTTCTATGATACAATACGCATTTTTTTAAAAACAAAATATTGCAACCCCCACCCCCTCTCCAAATAAACAGGTACCATAATACACCCCTACCTCTTCCGTAACGGACACCTCTCCACAGCGGCCACTTTACTCTGTCCCCGAGGTGGCCAATGTGGAGAGGTTCGACTGTATCAGTACAAGCTATGCTTTAAGCAGAGCGTATTACTAAGCAAACAGTTTTACAACAATAAAAGCACAGTTTTTCAAATGCTTTATAGCCTTAGATGTATGGAAAAAAGCTTGCTCAAAATACGAAAAGTATGAGCTTTCTTCCATTCATAACCACGTAACTTGACTTTACTTCTCGACTGTACCTCAAAGAATTCCAACAAAAGCAAAGATAATTTTTGTCTGCATCTTTTGATACAATCTGTAAATTCTTCATGCTCGTCATCCGTGGAGCTCAGGTACTTGATAAGGATCAAGAGAGACACTTTGTGAGGTGAAATCCAATCTTTGTGCGACTTTGTCGCCATTTTGAAAATTTTCATGTTCAAAGATTAGCGCCAACCTCTATCCCGTGGAGCAACTCTTGTCTATAGGGAGGGGGTACTGTGGTCACGCTAGCACCAAAGCTGGAGATAGATAACAAAAGTATTTCGTGAAAAGCGACAGGTCTTACAGATTTGAATAATAATATTAGTCGGGGAAATTACATGTGAAACTATCATTCAACATTTTTATCATAGTGAATTCCATTTAAAACTTACATCCCCCTCCGCTCCCCCTGAGTAAGGGTGACTAACCAGAAGTCCTGGCGCGGAGCGTTCAAAACGACAGTGAAAATGGCGGCGGAATCGTGGAAGAGAGTTGGTACATGACAACAAGCACAAGTTTGTGGCTTTGCCCTTCGACGTGAAACGTTTTACATATAATGATTTTTACGCTCAAGGAAGTCATCAAATGGTTAGGACTATCGATCTTCGAACTATGGATTCACATTGTGACAATTTTTGTGTTTTCAGTGTTGGTAGCCGTGAAACTGGAAGGCGGAACAATGTCATGGTGGACAGTATTTATTCCCTTGTTTGCGTGCGACGGATGTGTGGCTTACTTTTCGGCCATTGTATTCATAAGACTCTATCTGGTAGGCGACAGGCGTTTAGCGGCTATGAGAACGTTATGGAGCGCTTGTGTGGTGGCGTTGTTGCTAACTTATAAGATTCTTCTCTGCCAGCGTTTGGAAGGCATTCGAGACATAGACTATGCTGTCATACACGTACCATTGTTCATTCTCTTAAAAATGCTCGCAGTTCGGGCATGTCAAGTCGACTATTGATGTTACTAACCTGGTGAGACGAAATCTCAGAATTGCATGATTTGGGAGCTGCATTGGGTTACCTGGTCAGATCACGTGACCAATTGAGGAAGAACTGACACATCTGGCAGCCATTGTCGTTAAAAAATTAAACCATTAGATACTTTCCATGTATGAAAGCTCAACTAAGACTATAAGCAATTAGCAATCCTGGCTTGTTATTTGAAATATTTTAATAGAAAACCATGTTTGTCTTAGAGAGAAAATAACTTGGTAATATTGATGCATGGCTTGAGTCAGAAATGTCAGTTATGAGTAGTTTTGATGTAGAGTGATGAAAATATGTACATTTGCCAGATAGAATTTAACTTTAAGTCAGAAGAATTTTCAATACCGAAAGAGTAACGTTCAATACAATTTGTGAATATTCCATACTGAAAGAATTTAATTTTGCTAAAATATCATATTAAAGTAGTCCACAGTTTTAATTTGTAAGCAGACTTATATAATATAACATACATTTGGTACAATTTTATAAATGGCGCAATATCAATGTTTCCTTTCTCTTTTGTGTATGGTAATGTATGATAATGAGTAGAAAACAAAGAAAACAAAGAAAACAAAGAAAACGTTCAAATTGAAACAATGTTAATATTGCACCACAACATATACAGCCCAGTGTCATCTGTACATTACAACCTCTTAAGCTAATGTAACTGAGCATTATGACTATGTCATGTCATGCTTGTTTGTCATTGACGTAATGGAGACCTTCATGCTGGTAATAAACAATTTGAAGTCCTCTTGGCATGTTCTTGTTGCAAAGCAGAGGAATTCACTTAATTTTACTTTCCACAGGTTACTATGGGGCACATTTCTTGGAATTATTACTATATTGAGAACAATTGCTGATTGAATGTCACAGACTCTGGAATAGAGGATGTTTCTACTTGAGGAAACAGACTAGGAACTTTTAGGGGGGTCTGCATGTCCATCATTTGAATTTCAGATTGTTTCATGTCGCAATTTCTGAATGTCATTGCATTGCAAATGTAGTCTGTAAGCAGGCTCACTTTTGAGTCACATGTGCGAGCGGCAAAGAGCCAGGCTCACAAGCAAGGTGATTTGATGAGAGGAGTCTGGTGGAGAGGTGCCACTCACATGTGTGTTCTTCAAACGTGAGACTCCTTGCAGGCTATTGCAAATAGGAATTTAACATAATTCATTTCATTTCTTGTCAACTTATCACCCTGCATGTTTGTTTTAAGAGCTTATCGCATGTTAGAATATTGCCTAACAGGGCCTCACAGATGCTTTCTGCTGCACCTCAGTGTTTATGACATGTACAGGCAGGAGGTGTTTAGGATTAGCCTTGTATAGAGTGTAGCTCAGTATGCTGTCAAATCTCTTGACCTGACTGGTGTATGTCCGCCAGGATTCACTGTGGTACCATAGAAAAAAATAACTAATGTGCAAGTTTGCAGTCTTCTCCACAGGCATGGCAGACAAAGTTGGTGGGTGAATTGATGGGCTGAGGTTGCTGTCACTGCTTCCAGGCTGGTCCCTGCTTCCAGCATTTAGGGACTGAAAAGTGGATAATGGTAATCTTCTCCAGCTTAGACCAAATTGGCCTGAATGAGAGTGGTGCTTTGAGAACAGTCAATGTTCAAATGAGATGAATAGGGGGATTTTGAGCAGAGAGAGAGTGGGCTGTTGCCCCATTAGGTTTACGTTTTTGTTTTTCCCATGCTTAAGGTACAAGGTTGAGCACTTGCTGCAACTGCTCCAGTCCTGGAATTTCTGGATCTAATATAGTCTGGAATAACAAAAACCTTGGCAATCACGCATTAATCTATTCATTCTCTGCTACCTTGTTACCCCTCCCTCTCCTCCCCCCACCCCCTTCCCGTCACGTCCTTCAGCTTAGGCGTTTACTTAGGAGGGTAGAAAAAGCCAGCCTCTGTGTATCGATGTACCCATTAATGTTTCCTTTTGCGGAAAGTTGGGAAGTTGTCATAATGAATTAAAGGAACTCTAGATAGACCACATAACCAATGCCATAGTCTACTCATCAACAGAGTCTTAACCCTTGATTCATCCAGGGCAGATGCTTTTGGGGGCACATTCTTCCGCTAGTATAAACCAGCTAATATGTACCACTCTGTCCAACCAACCCACAAGGAAAGCCGCGAAGACCAGCAGTGCATTGATTTCATGCCTGGCCTAATAGCCTGCGTAGTAAGCGTTCCTGTCTTCAGTTTTTCGCCTCTCCCGCCTCAAATCCGACAATGCTTGCTACACAGGCCGATTAACTTTCAGAAAATATTTGACGGTAATCTAATGATCGAAACGTTAAGGGTACAAAATCGCACAGGCGATTAATTTACTTTTACCAACTTTTAATTTGATAAATAACTTTATCACGTATCCGTTTTGGGGGTCGTCACGCGCACTCAACAGTTCCCCTGTGGTTTGCACGTGACGATGCGAGGGTACTAAGCAAGACCAAGAGGCCGCAATAGCGTCTTGATCAGTTCTCTTTAATAAGAACTAGATCGAGCTTCAAGTATTTACAGACAAAAGAATTCCTGACCCACCTGACCAGACGGACGTTTAACCACAAAATGTACACCTTGACACGTTTGAGTAATAACTTGAGCTCTCTAGTAATGTTTTCACGTACTTCCACTTTCGCAGGAGTTCCCCATCATCCATTAAACGGCATAATCAAGATTTCTTCAATTTTGAAAATTTTAACCACTCGGCGTCCTAAAGTTATTTTCACCAGCCAGCAGATCAGGAGGTTTTGTGAGATTTTGTGGGGAGGAGCATGTTCCGTGCGCGCCTTTCGCCCCAATCACTTCCCACTTGAAAGTAAGTCTCGGCCCGCTGAGCGTGACCAGAAAAACAAACTGCTCTATGGTATGCAACAGTAGTATGGAGTCTGGGTGGGTATCACCACCAGATCCGTGGACAAGACGGAGGGCGGGTTACACGGTATCGGATGGATTTTGACTTCCTTGACATGCTCGAGAAAGTTACATTCTCAGTTGGGACCTCTCAGTCTGAGAAGGGGCACAAATTCTAGCTAGTTCTGGTCATAAATAAAATTGAAATAATATCCCTGTAAGAAGCACATATTGCACTGTTGCGTTTACTTTCAGTTTTTCTTCATGCTTTTTATTTGCAGTGAGATTGAAGAAATGGTTAATCAGCAAGGCAAGCAGGTAACTGAATCAGCAGCTTTGTTATTGTCTGTCGAGGCTACTGGTTTAGCTGGCCACATGTAATCTAATTGGCAGTAAACCATCTCTCTTCCGCATAAGCTTTTTCCCGTCCAGCCTTGATATGAACACTGACAGTATAGAGGGGAGAGAGGCAATGATAACGTCCGGTGCTGTTTATGCCATTTCAACTTTACTGAAAATGACTGTATATCAAGAAGGAAGAATCCAACAAGATAGCCCTACTTCGCATGCTATAATCTGACAGCTTGAAAGCCTATTAAAAGCAGAAATTCGTTAAACAGTTAAAATCGGTTCCAAAAAGTTTGGGAAAACTCTATGAAACAACCGTCCAGGGCAACGTGTCCAATTTAGAAATAGGTCGTTTCCACAGCCCTCTCTCCCTTTGTCAAAACAGGCGGCCGCGGCTCTGTTTGCCATGAAAATTTTTCTGTTCTCTCTCACAGGATCTTCTTGAGTTCTAACAAGGAACAAGGAACGTTTGTTTCTTTGGATTTTAATAAAGAGCGATTGGTGTATTTTCTAGAACACCTCAGCTCAAATGTTATCCAATTTTAGCAATTTACGTCGCACGTGACAGAAATCACGCTGTACCTGGTTATGAGAATTGTAAACGTGAAAGCCTATATATCAAATTACATATTGTTCCCGATTCACTACATTCACTTTCATTGCCTTGGACAAAAAAATCCCTCGAATTTGTACAACTCTGATAACTGCACGGACGAAGATCTGCGTCACGTATTTCTTGTTTGTTTGTGTATAATTGGACAATAGGTGAGAAATGGCATTGTGTTTGTAAACCAATAGCAAATCAGTGACGATAGCGTTCCAGTTGAGTTCTTTCACGTGGTACAAGAAAGAAGTGCACGGTGGTCGATCGTTCTGCAGTCGTTCGGACGTTTGGGATGGTGCTTGTCTTAGTGCTGGGGAGATTTCACATGCAGAAAACACTTTCTGATAGAAGCTTTCACCGTTCTGTTGAAGAGCCAGCTGTCACGGCGAGCGCGAACAGTCAACACGTGCGATATTACTGATATCGACATGAAATCAGCACAAATGAAGGCAAGTGTTCTTTCGGTTGTTTGATTCTCTCCGCAGTTTTATTCCGCGTCTCGACCAGCCAGACTAAAATACACAAAACAGGACAACTTGTGAAAGCTAGAGACGATTTGTCGAGTGACACGCGCGGTCTCAACCGGGTTATAGCACTGACCACCGAACGTCGAACGAGTCACAAAAATTCTGAAAAATTTCACCAAATATAAGCTTAAGCTCAAGACACAACTTTATTACCTGTGCAGTTTATGACAAGCGTTTCCGTGACAGACTAACCACCAAGTTGATAGCTTGACCGATCTGTAAGCCGAGTAAGTAAAAAAATGTAAGAATTTAAGCTTAGTTTTTCCTCTGATCGAAAAATCTCTAAAGTGTGCTAACTCAGTCGTCTTGGGTTTTGTTTAGAGTTTTCGATCTCTTGGCTGGGCCTAGGAAAATTAAAATAGGGCTTTTCGTAAAAACGTGGCACCTTTTACTGTAGTTAATGATATTATTTTCCGATAAATGTTTTATCAATGGCTTACCAAGCTCAGAAGTGAATCGAAATCATTCCGAATTTTTACCTGAAGAAAGCAATAATATTGCGAAATCATCTTTAACTTGGTTACCGTGTCTTTCAACGACAGTTCTTTTAATTCATTGACTGCTTTTTTTCCTGTTAGGACGCCGATGAAGTGGGAAGGATTAAAAACTTAACGGTTGCTGGAAGGTTGACGTTCGAAAATAATCTCCATCTTCGAACAGTCTTCGAAGCCCTGAACGAGCAACGAAAGAGCGCGCGCTTTTGTGATGCAATTTTAAAAGCAGGCGACAGAGAGATCAGAGGACACCGCGCTATTCTGGCCGCGGCAATACCAAAGATTTTAGAAAATCAGATGAGCAGAGAAGAATCCGAGTTTACAGTTGATCTGGAAGGTTTGAATCCAAATGCTGTTGAAGAGTTGGTGGAATTCGCCTACACAGGCAAAATCAACGTGCCTGCAGATCGAGTCTTGAATGTCTTCCATGTCGCCAAAAGTCTTGGAATGAGAGAAGTCCAAGATTTGTCGGAGCAGTTTATCCGGGAGAAAGTTCTTCCCTTAGATTGGATGGCTGTTAGAGCCTTTGCGGAGAGAAACGACTGTCCCACTTTGATGTCTGCGGTGGACGAGTTCATTGAACAGAACGTCGAGGAAATCTACCACAAGAAAGACTTCTTTCAATTGCCGCGGCTTCAGATCGAACTCGCCACCACAAACGAAAGACAGAAAGAAACCATCGATTCCGAAAAGCTTTGCAAAGTAGCTATAAACTGGGCGCATAAGCAACTAGAGGTGAGAAAAGTATTTTCAGTTTACTTCGACTTCCTTTCACCTGCAAGCTTCTGACAGCTAGTTAATGTGCGTCGATAGCTAAGCGTGTACTGTTTGTTTATCTTATAACTTCCCCCGCTAAGCTGTTCAGTTTTAGCAAGAACTAGCTTTTAGCATATCTAAAACAGTTGACAGTACCTTGAACCCAAATTCTACCAAAATTTCCTCTCTCCGATGCGCGAAAAATATAAACATTGTAGGCTTAAATTTCCGCGGGAAATCAATTTTTAGCGCGAAATATTGTAATTGATCCCTCGGAGGAATGTGCATGTTTCGAAAGGTCTTTTTGGGAGCTTTTTGCCATTTCACGATTTTCCAATGCCTTTCATTCGCTTGTGGTAACTAATTTGCGAGTGTAAACTTAGTTGTGGAAATGTGACCCAGACGTAGACAGAAAATTAGAGCACCTATTGTGTCATGCACGACAAAGGAACTGGAAATGCATGTGTTTATATTAGCTGGCCCCTCACTGATGTACATGTAGATGTGCATATTTCGAGATAAACAACAGGACTGGGTTCTTAACTTGGTGGAGGCAAACAGTTTTTTCAAGGATTTAGTTGTCCCCTGCATTTTGTATTATCGTTTATTACGTGTAGACTGCATCTTGAGCCTTTCATCCTAGCTATTTTGCATCACAATAGCCCTTTCGGTTTTCGAACGTTGATTTAGTTTCCTCTTCTTTAGCATGCGTTAAAGTTTTTTGTCTGCCCTTCCATCAATGTCATCATTTAAGTTTTTGTGGCTTATTTTTGTAATACTTTTTATTAATTTTAATGACTTCAACTTATTGCATTGCCCGCTTATCAAATAGTGTCCAGCTTTAAATTATTCATGAAGTCTCGCTTATTTGTTTTGAAAATTTTCTTCAAAGGAGCTATGAATTTTGTACGATTAATTAAGGTTGCACCACCCTTCATCAAAACTGAATCATTAAGAGCCTCATCAGAAGACTTTGAAAATTTGCTCAGGAAATATTGTTTACCAAAGTAATTTAGGAAGTATGCGAGTGATTTATGTAATTGTTAATTTGGTGGCACAATTATTGCCTGATGCTCCTTTCAAAATTAAATGTTTTGAGCTAACTGTTGTCAGTTACTTTAGCTACGCCTGATAACTTAGCATTTTGAACTAAAGTGCTCTAATAATGTACTCATCTGGCATGTCATAAGTGGAGATTGCTTCTATTTCAGCAGGGTATTAGATTAACTCAGTTCACTGGTAAATTTAGTTACCTTTGGTAAATAACATTTATTGCGGCAGGTATATTTTGCAAGTTGGAGGTTGAAATTTAATTATAACTGGAAAACCGCTGGCACTAAATATAATTAATAACCTATATACTTGTCAGAGGTTTTACATAAAGTAGTTTGCATCTTTCACACAGTGAAAACACGATCGATCCACTATAAGTACTTATCGATCTACACGCAGATCGCATGAGACCAGTGAAATCTCTTCAAAGCCATCTGGATGGCCGCTCCACAGATGTTTCCATCAATTCCAGATTTGGCTCGGGTCTTCCCTCAACAAAAGAAGATTGCCATCACAAATGAAGCAAATGAATAAAGAAACGAAATAATATAAGTCTTAAGATTTTAACCGACGGAATATACTAGCACAAGCTCAGTGTGCTTTCATTTCGGTACTCTCAGGAACGAAACCAAATTCAGCAGATATTTCAGATTATATTTCAGATGTTTCTTCAAAAACGATAATTCATTGCAGGGTTAAAATAATAGGAATGTACTCTCCTCCCATTGCTTTGGCCGGTTTGGCACTTAAGTGGAAGCCACCTTACGGAGCGATTGTAAACAGTGTTATGTAACAGTCACAGTAAGTCTACCACCTGTACGTTTCTTTTAAGTGCCAGCTGTTTTCCAGTTATAATTAAATTTCAACCTGCAACCTGCAAAATATACCTGCTGTATTTATTGGAAAATTGGAGTACAAGAGAGCAAAAACTCAGCTTTGATTTTCTTGTGTTGCAATATTGGACCTTCAGCAAAATCTGCTTTTTTAGCACAATCCCCTCACTGTGTTTTTGTCTGGCAGTGAATTTTTCAAGGGGCATCCAGGCAAATTTTAGAGGGCATGGTATTTTGATCGATGTAGAAAGATTTACGTATTTGGAGGTGTTTGATTGTTGTTTCATCTACCTGTACATTGACGAATTGCTCAGGAAGTTTCTCTTTTGACAGAATAGTAAACTAATCCAAACAACAAAGCTATTATATCCCTTATCGCTGTGGTTTATCATCTATTTTTATGTTTAACAGGCTGGAAGTATTAATTTAAGAGGATTGCTGGAGAAGACCCACATTGTGTTCCTGACTGCAGATGATGAAATGAAAGAGTGTACCATAGAGGATCTGGACTCTGGTGATGAGAAGTCCAAGCTAATTACAACAGAAGCTCAGCGTGAATACATTCGGTACACCTCGCTTGAACAGTTATCCAAACCAGAGACAAACAGCAGCGAGGATGAAGAGGAGTTGATTGTACTGATTGAAAACAATAACAACAAGAGGAAAAATTCGTGGATGAGTGAGAAAGATTTCCAGCTGATTGGTGCTGTTCAAACCAGTGAAAATGGCTGTGTAGGTGTGGTGACTATCAGAGGGATGTTGGTGGCAATATCCATTCACACTCAAGCTCACACATGCACCAATAACTCAGACTCTGGGGATTCATGTCCTGGAGAGGAGTGGGTACTTGTAGCTCCGATGAGTAGAGGTGTGTAGTAATATGTAATAATAGACCTTTCCCTGCAATCCACTTCAGTGTGTACCAATAATAGTAGCAGAGCAAGGTTGGGGTGGACCTTTTCATACATTTGACTGTGTATTTTTGTCCACCTTGTCCTCAACTCAGCACCGATGTTTGTTGCAATGTACAAAGAAGTCTATTTAGTTGAGGGTTTTAATAAGTGGTTTCACCATCTGCTATTGATTTTGTTTGGATTGAAATTTTAACATCAGTTCTAGAAATTTCAGTCCCAGTATTAACATCAATGATCCATTGCCCCAAAATGTCTGTTGTAGTCTCCAGACTCACTAGTCCTCAAAACATGCCAGTGCTTTGCTGTAAAACATGGCCAGTGCACAGAAGCTGTCTAGTTGAAACATCCAAGAAGTCAACACTAATCAGTTCTTTTTTATAATTCTGTTATCATCAGGTCGTTGTGGTGTCGGAGCAGTTGAGCTTGATGGAAAGCTGTATGCAATAGGTGGCTATGATAGGGGTGACTGTCTGAACACAGTGGAGCAGTATGATTCTCAGTTGAATGAATGGATGCCTGTCACAAGCATGAACTCTCACAGAGGACGACTAGAGTCTGAAGTAGTCAATGGCAAGATATTTGCCATTGGTGGCTCCAATGGACATACAGAACTCAATACAGTGGAAACCTATGATGAGACTACAAACAGCTGGAGCTTTGCACCAGCCATGTTGCAGTGCCGCTGCAGTTTTGGAACAGGGGTGATTGATGGACACATCTATGCAGTTGGGGGCTACCAAGGACCCAGGAACCTTAAAAGTGTTGAAGTGTATAGTCCAGAGAAAGAAGAGTGGGCAAGGGTTGCACCCATGAACACTGAAAGGAACAACCTATGCGTGGAAGCTTTAAATGGCAAGCTTTATGCTGTCGGTGGTTACAACGGCTGGACCTGCTTCAACACTGTGGAGTGTTACAACCCTGAAGAAGATCGTTGGTATTTGATCCCACCAATGAAGACACATCGCCGTGGTGCTGGTGCTGCATCACTGCATGGTAAACTGTATGTGATTGGTGGCTCTGATGGCACTAATTTCCTGAACAGTGTGGAATGCTACGACCCTGATACCGATGAGTGGAAAGCTGTGGCTAGCATGAATACTCCACGCCATAATGTTGGGATAGTTGTCATTGGAGACTACATCTATGCTGTTGGTGGTTTTGGGGGATCTTCATTTTTGAAAAGCATTGAATACTATGATGCCAAGAGTGACAAATGGAACTGTTTTGTTAATTCATGACTGTCAAGCATTAAGAGCTTTCGCTTGAATTATGACATGCCAGAAAGAAAATGGTGACAGCATTTTTCTGAGAAAACTGAATGGCAGTAACAGGCTTTTTATTCAAGTTAAGCTTCCACTGTCGATAAGTAGAATTAATATTTATTAGTAAGATAATTTTACCTGATTTCGTATTTTGTGGCATATTTTAAAACACATAGTTGTACATATAGATTTGGTTTGACTTCAGATATGAACCAGTGACACTAAACATTAGAGTTGTGGATTTACATAGTCACATCCCATTTTGTGTGAGCATATTGACAAGTTCTCTTTAACACTATTCTGGTTTCTGTTGATTAGTGGTGCAGCTTGTGAATAATAACAGTGAGGGGAATACATTTTTAAGTTATTGAAATTCTTTTCACCTGTCCACAACTTACCTGTAACTAATGGTACTAGTAATAGTAATTTTACAATTTTCAATCCATGTGCATTTTTTATTACAGGAAGTTATAAAAAGAAATTGGAGCAAGGACAGTATGAAATGTGACTAAAAAAAATCCATTATTTTGTTGAATTTAAGTTTTCCATATTTTTTGTTAATTTTTATGTTCATGATGTCCGTGCAAGCTAACAGATTAGCTTTGTAATTAATTTTGCATTCCTACTTGTAATTTTGTGCTCTAATATTTTGATTTCTTAGTTTTAAGACCATACATAATCAGCAACATTTCTTTAATACAGTGATGCATGTACCTTGCTCATTGTTATGCTTATTTTATTGGATTTTTTTGTAAGTTATGTCTAAAATGAAACATCAGTAGAATAATGGTTCTTTGCTATGATACAACTCATTGTACTGAAAATAGCCATCACAATAGATTGTTGACATAGCAATGATGAATTTAAAAGGACAAAACCGCTTTTGAATTTCCTTTGGTTTACAAGCGGAAATTTCTGTCATCTCAAACAAATGTTTCCCAGATTGCAACCCCAGTATGACACAGGGCTGTCATTAATTAAGGGCCATAACCCTTGTACCTGTTATGGCCGAGTATGTTTGATGGACCCTTGATGTTTCAGGTGAACTCGCCTCTAGTCGACACTACATAAAGTAGCAAGTTTGTTACAGGTGTGAAGATCAAGTTTACAAGGTGAATCAAAACTTAATGACAGCCCTGTGACAAGCACCTTCCTCTGTAATAAACAGAAATCATGGAATGAGGGCTGTACTCCAGTGGAGCCACCACACCTGAATTTCCTCAGCTAGCTAAGAGATCTATCTCGTTAGTTCACATGCAATACTACATTGCCCATTTTTTGATGCCCTGCATTGGTCTTATCCAAGTTCAGAAATTCTGTGTATAATTTCCAAGCATTTTCCATCAATTTTTATTGATTAGTTGATGTCAAACATTACCAAACATAGGGCTAAGCAAGGCTAAGTAATAGATTTAACTTCCCTCAAGTCCCTTAAACTTCCTACTGACTAGTATTTTAGTATAATAATTAAATAGAAATATGGCTATAATGACAACCTCGGTGATTTACAGGTTGAGTGAAACCAGAGACTTGTCAAATAAGTCATTTGCTGTTTGTGTAAAGGACAAAAAGTTCCAATAATTATTACAGTAACTCTCAGTTTGTATACTTTTTTACTAATTTATTGTTCCCCAAAGTTATTTAATTAGGTAGGCAAAAGCTTTTATAAGTTTGTTGCTATAAAGGGAGTGAGAGATATAAATTTTAAAAGACGTGTTCCAATCTTATTTGGACTTGTTTGAAAACAACCATGATCTGAGTGCTAAATTATTTCATCATTGAAGTTTATAAGAAGACAATTAAATTATTGAAGTGTGAATTGTGATTTGTTTGTGACATCACTGTACCCTTCTTTACTTACTGATGCTACAAAACAAAGTTCACAAGAAAATTAAATCCCCACGATCAACAAAAAAAGTATTTTCCCTCGGATCTGATAGTAATTTTTAGTCACCAACATTGTGAAAATTATAACCATGCCATCATCAAATACCTGTTGTCTCAGTTTGAAGTTCCCCTGGAAAATTAGTCATTGCTTGACTTTTTTAGGAAAATTAATGCCCCCACACTCCCTACCCCACCCCTTAGGGGTTTCATTAGGTGCTTGGTAACCAGGCAAATTGACTAGATGTGAGGGTGATTTTGCCCACATGGTTTGACTATCCAGAAGAAAGTTTTCCTTGTAAAGAAGTTCAGTTCAAAACAAGTGTTATCAGCCAAAGCTGAAGGCTGAAGCTGATAACACTAACTGAGACCTTGATTATTCTGGATATCACAAAAACTGAATCTCATAACAGTATCGTTTTCTTATACATTGTTTTAAAGAAAATAACGACAAACGCATTATCACACCAAACACAGTTAACTTTTGACAAGCCATGTTCTTACGTGAACTTGACATTGTTCTTGGAAATTATGCATTGCACGCACAACCCACGGATTATTCACTAATCTGCTAGCAGATTAGTGAATAATCTGTAGGTTGCGCTGTTTCCCAGAATTATTTGTAGGCTTTTAGCCAATGAGAAGACAGATGGTGACTACAATGTATAATAAAGTCGTTTAACAGGCTTAGTCTGAAGTGTCAGCTGTCTTCTTGTACTTAACCCCAAAGAGCCGCTTGGGGGCTAACTGTGAAAACACAGCTGACACTTCAGAGCAAACAGGCATGAAAATTATCCAAAAAAATTGGGAAGTACAGTACCAGAGTGGAAATACCAGAGCACACTAAGATAGTTTGCAAAAAAAGAAAAAACAATACCCCAAAGCAGTTAGTATATAGAATCTTGAGAGAACTATATCTATCGATAGGTACCCAGAAAAAGTAGTTTATTAACTGCTAGCTATTTGCATCTAAATTCACATATACCACTGGAATTGAATAGTGCAAGAATAGACCGCATTGATTTCCTTCTGTTAAAGGCCTCCAACTTTACAACCTTATTATACAGTTTACAGTAAAGTCATCATACAAACAGTAGGAAAACTAGCTGTTATCCTTGACTGTGCAATTGCCAGTTTCATTCTCAGTTTTCAGTGGTCAAGATTTAGACTAGAATCACCTAAAATATGCGTATTGGGATCCAGTCTACATAGTCTGTGTAAACATGTGGAGAAAGAATGTAGTATGTGACTCTTAAGTGCTGATGATATTTTTGCATATAAGGTCATATTTTAACATCTATCAAATAGTTACATAATCTTTAAATAATGAAACAGAAGTCCTTTGTACAGTGTGTCCTCCAACTTCACACACCAATTATGGGTTTTAGGTGAAGTCTTCATATTTACAATGCACAAGGTGTCCTCTTCATACAACATCAACAGTCTATTTTACAAGTCTCTCATTAAGAAATTCTTCCACACTGTCTGTATTCCACTTTTCAATGCTGAAAATTAACAATGAGTGCCAAAAAAATGAATCCTAAGAAGTTTAAAAGCAAGGACAACAAATCCTTAACAGCTTGCTTTGTCTAAAAGGTTACTTTCCTAGCCAGAGTTTATGTACATGTACTTCCTTAACTACAACAAGACTTCCCCAAAAGCTATGTACTTTCAATGGTGGTGCCATCAATAAAACCTCATTTCTATTAATATCAAAAGAGCACAAATCACTCTACAATCATGGACAAAAGTGTTGATACATTTGAGCAAAACAAACGCCTTCTACCGGCGTCCTTCCCCAATTTCAAAAAACATCTTTTTTGTCGATAGCCAAACCCCCCTCTCCCCCTTTTCATTGTTGAAATATGTTCCATGGACACTGTCATGTGGTTACAACATTGAAAAGGGGAGAGGGGGTCGAAATGTGAAATTGGAGATTGAAAAACACACGTGTTCAACAAAACAGGTCTTTTTTGGGGAGTGTCTCAACTGCTTTTGTCCATGATTGTAGGTTTTGCTTGTTGCACTGGAGAAGGTACTGCTCTAACTGAGAGCAGGGGTGGTGCAGTGCTGAGGGCACTTGCTTCACACCAGTGTGGCCTGAGTTTGATTCCAGACCTGACACAACATGTGGTTGGTTCTCATCCTTTCTTGTCCAGTATCCATTTTATAAGCCTTGATCAAGAGAGGCCGTATGACAGTGAAGTGTCTCAGCCAGGAACACGTGACAGGGTCCGAAATTGTGCTTTCCTGGTCGATAATTACACAAACTTATTGGTCACTTACTTTTTACCTTTCCTCTGCTTTTGAAGTGTAAAACCGATTTTCCTGTTATTATAAATCTACCACAAAGTTTCACAGCTACGATCAGTGCGAAGCTTCACTGCTATGTTTTTTCAACGGTTTCCCATAACATACGTATTGCAGACGCAGAAGGCCACGTGCGTTCTTTCACCATGAATATTTATTCAGGCGATGTGGTGTCCAAAGATGTCCTGAACTCTTTCCATAATTTATTACAAAGTGGAGACGGAACATCCGCGAAGAAATTAGTGGAAGATTTCGATATTCAACACGGTGATTCGTTGATCGACTTGACAGAACGCGAAAGGAAAGATCGTTTTGCACATAGAGCAAAGAACCAAACGGCAGTTTTCAGTCGGGTACATTCTTCTCCAAAAGGTAGAGACAAGAGAAGGTATAAAGTTGACTTAAAACATTTGACAGTCGCACAAAACTGCATATATGGCTGGCATTCGATTTTCAGTGGTAGGTGTATAAATAATCAGCGTGTTTGTATTTAATCTTATCATTAGCGGAAAAATTGCCATCATTGCGGCCCCAAACGTGTTCTCTTCGTTCTGATTCTTAAAAAAAAAATTGGCGACCAGAATTTTCCATCTGGCAAGCAAAAATTTTGGTTTGTGTTTCGCTGCGAAGGAAAAATTTTATTGACACTTTGGCAACCACATTTTTCCATATGCTGAAAAAAAAATTTCAGTTGCCAGTTGGCACCTGCCTAAAAAAGTTAATTTCGGACCCTGCATGACAAGGACAATGGCCAGGAACTGAATGTCAGTTACCTCCAGATATGTAACAATCCAACAAACCAAGGTCGCAGTTGTCTCACATTCAATTAAAGGTTAACTCTTGGTTGGCTGATCAACTGACCTAATATAAGTTATAGTTACAAATAAGGAAGAATTAAACACACCTTAAAACCTCTTTTACATCATTATTTTCATCATGAAGCTTTAGAATGGGATCAGCCCCTCGTACAAACTGAAAAACCAAGAAAGCATTGCTTAAAGCACATCAATATAGTAATATTATTGCACCAATAAAAACTTATTATATTTAATTCTCTCACTTTTCTCTGAGCTCCTTCCCAAATAAATGCTGGGACTTCAAGGTAGAGATGTAAATAACCCACCCAAGCATTTATTCAAGGTTTAATTACTAGGTATTTAATAACAGTCAAACTCAGAAAACCATCAACAACTAAAATATGTCTGGAATGTTTGTTGTGTTAAAACTAATCACCAGCAAGATCTTCAACCAAAGGAAACTGATGTATTCCATTAATTGAACTATAAATTTAGGTTTTGGTTTTCGCTTTGTCCCAAAATACACCCTCTCTCTTTATATATTACTGAAAGTCTAAATAATTGCTATCCTTTTGTATTGAGAACCACATCCAGTACTTAGTTTGAGAAATTTTGGAAAACAAGAATTATGCCGACAGGATTGGTTTTACAGCACTCCATTGAAACCACTCTAACAAGCTTAACCTGCTATTCTGGCCTGTGCACCCTAAAATGTACTTAATATATGTACTAGTCTTTGGTTTCTAGTGAAATTGCAACCAGTGGTAAGGTTACAGGTAATGTATCTTTCAACCAGTGAAATTAACTGGTAGCCGGTTCTTAGCTAAAGCCCTGCCTGTACAGTAAAATTTATAGAGTAAAACCCTGATAAAACATTATCATAATAATATACAACTAAACAGCTTACGTTCATCCTAAGGTTTGGAAACTTAGTAGGCCTGTCACTCCGGACAAAGGCTGTAAAACAACATATTAAGAGTTGATAAAACAAAAACAACCATCTACAAGTATACTGTATTTACTCAAATGGCAGTAGTTTATTGTTAAAGAAACTTAATTGTTGAATATCACATGACTCTTTATTTTGATAAAAAAAAAAGGCAACAGCAACAAACTTGGTACAAAATGTAATGTCACCCTTTTCTCCAAATAAGAACCAAGTAGCTGAAAAGAGGAGTACCTGTAAGCCTCTTCAGTTACTAAATAAACACTGCTTAAGAGCTAAACTTTTTTAATAAGTAATGTGCTGTTCAGAGGTGCGGTGTTCATTCAAAGCACTGTTGAATAAAGCAAAGTTCTTATTCTTGTAAATTTATGATATGTGGTGTACCAAAAACACAGTGCATCTCACTAGGAAGAGCCCAGTTAAGTACCGTAGCCCTGGTTTCTATTCAAGCTGAAATGACCTTCTACTTTAATTTAAAAAGACTGTTTAAAACAACAAATCTTTTAAGAAAATTGTTTGGATCTGTATCACTTTGCTTTGTCTGTGACATATTGCATGTGTATTCCACACAGACATATCATATTACTAACAATTCAAAAATTAGAAGTTTTATTTGCCACATTTGGATTTTGACCATACAAAATTTCAATTTCATTATAGGCAAATAGCAGTTGAAAGCAACACAAGCAACCCTCAGTCTGATAACATTGTTGTCCTTACCCTGAATTTGAGGGAACCTCCCCAACTTTCAGCTACACACTTCAAGAGTAGCAAAGGCATATCTCTGAACAGGTCAAAGAAGAAATAGATCATTAATATCATGGCTGTGATAAACAAATAAGAGATAACTATGTAAATGGAATGTATATGTGGTAGATGCCGAATGCTACAGGCTACAGTTAAGCTGCAGAGGCATTCATGAATGCAGTTTGTTTTGAAAAAAATATATTACCGCTATATATCATACAATAATGCAGCCCAGGTTTGGATACAAGTTTTCTTCCTCTCATGTCCACCAAAGCATGACCTTTCAAGCTGATTGTATAAATAAGTTAACACCATTTTAAGTCAAATGAGTTTGTCCTGTCAACTCACAAGGAAATTTGAGCAGGTTCAAATTCACTAAGAGAGACTGCACTGGAGTTGATATGAATGCCTCCATGTATGAAGTTAATGTCGAGGAAAAGGTTGTTGTTATTCATCGTGGTAGATGCACTAATAAAGTGTATTATCGTTTGTCTCACGATGTAGTCACTTGAGATGTAGATCGCGACGTTTCGACTGCTTACTGCTAGTCGACTGATTGCACGGTATCATTTATATCACGAAGGTCGGCTGTAAATGTATATATAAGAAGATATCTTTGAAAGCTACAAGCAGCAAAGCTGTTTATTTGAAGTGTTGATTGCTTAAAGAAAAACAATCCGATTTTAGTTAGCAACAATATTTGCTTTTTTGCCAGTTTATCTTACAGTTACGAGTACAGCACCAGCTTCTGAGGAAGCTGGCTGTTAAGACTCAGTGTAAATCTCGAGTATAAATTAAGGTTGTACTTGCGCTTGAAACTATAGCCTTTACCAATATACCATTGTATATGTTATTAGAAGATTTCTATTGAAGTCATAATCAACAAAACTGTTTATTAAAAGTATTTGATTTGTAAAAAGGACGAAAGATCTTTCTAAAGTTTTGTTATGGTTTAACTTCCTTACCTCATTTTCCTCTACAGTATGTGTAGGAGGAGCGAATGTTCACAATGTTTAGGTCTTGCTTGAAGCGCGCCAAATCTCTTCAGAGTTGTTTTCATTCTTCTGGAGGCGCCTACAACTTCGGCACTTGCCAAATAATATCCAAGCTGGGTTACTCGAACTTCAAACCAAATCAAGCGATCGCTAGTTTGATCCTGCGAAAATATACATGTGTCAATTGCATTGTTTGTTCCAGCCGTCGTCCAATAAAGACTTTTTCACATTTCTTACCAATCTCAAAAACCCTCGCGAGTATAGGGACTCGAGACTGGATCTAAGACATTTCCTCTCTGTAGTGACCTAACAAACTTACAACGTATGTTTATGCAACAGCTCTGTTGCTATGGTGCTAGTTATGCATTGAGTCGTCACGCAATCTCTCCTTCCTCTATGAGTGTCTGAGAGGGAGGGTGACGGGGAGGGGTGGGGAAAGCAACGCACAACGAATACAAAGAGCGTCTGCGTGGGAGGTTACTTTCTTTCCTAGAAATGTGCTCACGTTTTCTAGGAATCCAGTCTGTTACACGTCATAACAATGTGTTATTTTGTAAGAAGCTTCAATCGCGGGATTGAAACGATTTATACAGGAATATGTTCCAAACTATGCCCTCCTAACAACAGTACCAAATAGCCAAAGGAAGGAACGATATTGGTTATGAAAAGGACGAAAATAATAGATCAAGGAATTTCTAAATCTAGTTCGGGGATTCCCCTAATTGTAGCTCATGCATTCCTGGATACGGCTCACGAACTATGCAAGTGAGTTGAAAGAATCTTGCGCGCCGCCATGCCGTGAACGCTGTCAACGCTCATAGTTTGCTGCATTCTAGGAAGCCGTCAGCTGCTGTCATTATCTGTGTTTATATGAAGTACTGAGAGAAGAAGGCATGTAGAGAAAACGAAGACACAGGCCACAGATAACAGTAGGTTGATATGAAAAATAATGCACTATCTGTCAGTCAAGTCGGATTATCGACGTCATAGCTAATGAACTCTGAACACCAAGAAGAAAAACTTTAAAATCGAACTTTCAAGTCATTTTAGAACAAATGATAGAAGTAATGAACAAGAGGTCGTTTCATTATAAGCGTTCTTTAGCTCTCCTTTCGATTTGACTGCGAACAGAACTACGCAGGCATTTCAAAATTTCCATTGTTTACAAGGCACTGTATCTCTTATGGTTCTTATGAGCTTCCGAGTGAGGACGAAGAGAAGCGTAAGAGTTGGTCGAGGCCACTCCAAACTTCCCAAGTGCATCAGAACTTGACAATGCACAGCTAAAAGCATGAATCAATTGTTTTATAATATTGCCAATGAAAATGGCGAAGCAAATTTAACTTTGCTGACGACATGAGCGTCGCATCATATTGTTATGATGCACCTTTACGTACACTAAGTTTGATAGCGAGACTTCAATAGCGCTTTATATCGACTAGCTAATAAGAAAGACTACTGTTACTGATGCCAAAGCGTTACAAGTCTCTTGTGCGATACCTGGTGTCGGAACAGATATATCATGCGAAAACAGCTTGGAAAAAAGCTAAAGACGAAAATATGGTATCGAATTACATAGGGAGGTTCTGATACCATAATATA